TCTCTCTAACCCCCCCCCCCTCTCTCTCTCTCTCCGACAGACTTATACACTTGGAAAATGGCAGTTATCAAAAGAAATGTGACATGCAATTAATACAACTGCTAATTGGTCAAATGGGCTACTGATGTTAAAACCTATTATTTTCCTTGGGTTTTGGATATGCTCAGTGTTGGAAGCACTAAATTATTTGAGGATTTCTCAGTGAAGTAAAAAGTAGGCCTGTTGATCATTCTGTGCAGAACATAGAGGAAGAAGTCTGTCGCAAGTATAATGTTTTCTGTCTGACAATTCCGTCCTAAGAAACAGCTGAGTATATCATCATCCCACGGTATTGGAACAGAAGAGTCATAGCCTTGTTAAAAACTCATAGCCTTCCAATCAATAACTATCTTCATCGATAAAAATTAATAAATTCTCCCTTATAACATGTGTGACGTGCAACTCTCATGAAATTGAAAATAAATTTCACGTTTTCTTTTTGACCATCAAATGAAATTGTTAATTCCTCCCAGCCTGACTAGGCCCAGTGACAGAAACATGCAATGTTTGACCCCTCGTAAGAGATATGTGTACAACAACCTGTACTTTTTCATTTTTGGAAACTTTATTTAACAAATGAGTGTTTTATATGATGTGATGTGGGCCAATGTGTAAACCAAGAAGGCGGGTGGTTGACGGGTGCTCAAGTGTGGTTTGCTTCTTTTTTCCTATCAAACATTTATCGTCCTTATCTTTCCTCCTTCTTTTTTGTGTTTGTTACTCTCTTGTAACGCCTCTAATCTAAGGCACTTATATAACCTTATTGTGTTGCAAGTGCCGTAAAACGCTTACTAAAAAAACAAAAACCAAGAAGCAGCGAATGTTTTGTACCATTTTTTTTTTCAAATGTAAAATATGTTTCTACTCCCCCATGCGATACAATCTACTGTATATTTAGATCGTTTAGGCTTTGACCCTGCCTGTCAGGACCAGCCCAACCTGCAAAGGATATTACAACATCCAAGCAGAAAAACCGAGGTACTCTATAAAAAGGTCCCCCACACAGAAAGCGAACTCATGACTTCTGCATGTATTGGCGAAGTGCCTAACTGAACTACTACACCACATATGCCTCTTCTTGTATAGCGAGCTTATCGATACAAAATTTATTGAAAAGTGGCGCTGAGGTAATGCCCATGGCAGACCACAAGAGATCAACTCTGAAAGAGACAGGCAAAGAAAGAAAAATTGATGGAAGCTTTGAGGCCCATCTTCGAGATGAGACGGTTGAGAGTGAGAGATATGGTTGGTTGACCGAGAATGGTGAAAACTAAAATTGCTTTCTTTGGGGGGGGGGGGGGGGGGGGGTGAAATACGGCGCTCGCAACTGCATAAGGTCAAATGAGCGCACAGGACACATTAAATTTAAACATTTTCTGTTGGTAGGAAATTTTGAATTTTGCCCAGGCGGCTGCCGAAGCCTACTCCTATCGATTTTAGACCACCAAGGGATCTTTAACGTGCGAAACTTAAGCTCTAGGGCAAGAGAGCCCCCTAAAAATAAAATAGCTGGTGTCTAATGAGATGTAATAATAGTAATAATCATCTTCTTCTACTTTGCGTTCCCCTATTATTAGAGTTTTAGAGGTACAAATGTAGTTGACTGCTGATTCTTCAACCTGCAGGGCATCTTTTTTTTTTTTTAAACCGTTTGTGACAATTTTCCCTACTTTGTAGGGCTCCTTGCTATCAGGAAGCCACATTCCAATTTCGAAGGTACTCTGCAAGTTTTTATACAGACTAGAGTATTTTCAGTTCTGGTAGGAATTTTTAATTTCGCTCAGGTGGCACCCGATGCCTACATTGTACTCTTTTTTCAATTTTAGGACCTCCAAGTCCAAGGGATCTTTAACGTGCACAACTTGCACACACCACCTCCGAGATTTTTCGCCCGTATCCGAGAAGATTAGGTGTTAGATTTTACCTTCCCTAAGCTGTCCCCGCGGTTTTATGCAAAAAAAAATCTGAAATTATGCAAACTGAGCCCAAAAATGTGAAATTATGCAATTCTGTTGATTTTAACAAAGAATGATAAAGGAAAATAATCCAAAATAATGCAAAAAATGATCAAATTTTGCTAAATTATGCAGGGTGCATAAAACCTCGGGGACAGCCTAAGATCAGGGGTGTGGCTGAAAGACAGCAGTTAAAAAGGAACCAGGAGAACAGTAGAAAGAGTCAGTCAAGAGTAAAGTAAGGGGAGATGAGGCCGGAGGTGGGGGAAAGAGGATATGAAAGCAGGTCACAGAACAGGACAAGAGAACCGGAAAGGAGGAAAAAGGAGAAAACTTTTGAGAAAAAAAATGTTTCATTGCTATCAAGATTCGAACCCGGGAACTATTGAATGAGAGGTAAACATCGTACCCCTCCTAAATCACCCGAATCCCCATAAATAGTAATAATGATCGAAAAATGATCTTTTAAGTGAAGCATACTTTTAACTCTGTGTTCCCTCTATATGATGATGCCACATTTCAGAAGCTGTGTCATTGTGCGCAAACATGCTCTTGGGTGGGTGGTTGGCGGGTGCTCTGGTGTGGTTTGCTTCTTCTTTCCTATCAAACATCTATCATCCTTATCTCTCCTCCTCCTTTTTTGAGTTTGTTACTCTCTTGTAACACCTCTAATCTTCAGCACTATATGGCTTAATATTACGTTGCAAGTGCCGTAAAACTCTTACTAAAACTAATTCTTTTGGGAATGGTGGAGTGGGTGTCCAAATGAACTTTTACAGCAAACTCCCCAAAGAAAGTGACATAAGTGCAGAAGACTGCCTATTTTATTAGAAACAATCTTGTCTTTGAATACGATATCATATATATATATACAATGGAGTACGCTTAAATAGAAAATGGCAACTCTGAAAACAGCAGTTAACAAAAGAAAATAGAATCCCCAATATTTTTCAGTGCTATATATTATGAGTAATCTATCAACAAAAACTGAAAACAGCTAAACCTAAAGAAATCCAGCAGTCCCGCAGATTCCACTGTATTTCAACACAACTGAAGATAAAACGTAATAAATACAGAATAAGCAAAGGCAGTAGTTTTATGTGATTTTAATAATGGACTCCTCTCTCAAAGCGAAACTTTTTTTTTCTTGGCACCGGGAACAATCCCAACATTTGAAGGTTTCTTAGGATGCTGCCTCTTGTTGCTCTTAGCTTTTTCTGATTTGTGAGTTGAGCTGGGAACTGAAGTTGATGCTGAAGACACTCCGACCTCTTCAGAGTCTGAATTCCTTTTGCCAGAATTTAAAACATCCATGTCGTAATCCGAATCCTCTTCGCCTTCCTCGTTCTCCTCCACCACATTCTTTAATTTTTCTTTCTTTGTCTTTTTCTGTTTGCTAGTGTTTTGTTTTGGCCTCTTAGGAGGGGTTGCATCATCATTCTGACCATTATCCTCATCAGTACCAGGTGAGTCATCAATGTCATCATCATCATCATCATCATCAGAATTAGCATCACCAGCCTTGCCTTGCTTAAAAATTTCATCTGAAATTAGAAAATAAAAATACAAATCAACAACACACCAGTGAAAAAATATCCTACAAACAAAGAGCGTATTTTTAATATACAATAAATACATGTACACTGAACCATAGACAAATGTTTGGAAATATGAAAGTAAAATACTCAAAGACAATAAAGTATAAGGTTAAGTAAATTTCAACTCCATTCTTAAAAGAAGTTATCATGAGGTAATTGCAACCCAAATGTAGCCACGTTGATAGTAGAAACCAGGACGAGCATACAAGGTCAAATAAGTTCCGAGGGGGGGGGGGTATTTTTATCGATTAAGACATATATATATTGGCCGTTAGCTACCAAGATAACTGCCATACTGTAGGCCTACATGAAATTTCACATTCAGTTTAAGTGTTAAAAATACTAAAATGTCTTTGATCTCTGCTAAAATAGAAAATAAATGCTAAGCATGACAAGCACATAGGACTATAAACTACATCAATATTGCAAATACTTTATAAGAGACATGTCGAAACATGTTCGGTCTCAGCTTCTAAAACCGCAATAGTAGATTAACATTGTGTAGTTCACTGAGGGCTGATAATGTAATTTCTTTAAAACTTAATTTCATACAATTAGTAAAGTGAACCACAGTACTACATGAGAAATTCAACCATCACATTATGGGTTCTGTTCAGCACATTGGATTTGACATTAAGGACCAGAGGAACCATCCTTTAGAAGGGAAGTATTTCAAAAACTCTAGAAAGTAGCATTATTAAAAACTGTAACAGTAAAAAAAAAGTTTATAAAAATGATGACTTTGGGCACAAATGGGCAATCTCCAAAGAAATCTTTTTTCCACTATAGGGAGGCTAAAAACTGTTTAATTAATTTTTTTATGACCACTTCAACTCAAATTTCAGGTGAATGTTTCATGCATTTCTATTTATGGAAAACCATTTATTGAGACCCTACTCTATGACATTGCAAAAAAAGATCAGCGTTTAGAAACTTTTAGGAGTGGGCTCATTTGTGCCCGACAGATTAAAATACAAATATATATATTATTTTCCTGAACCTACCTGGATATAAATCACTCATGTCATCATTATCATCGTTGTCACTGTTATCATCGTCCCAGTAGTTGTCTCCGCCCCCGACACTGTCGCTGTCTGACGTGCCACCAGTCGGCTGCCGACCACCGGCCCGAGGAACAAACTTCTCACCGGTCTTTTGACACGTCTCCCCTAAGGCGGCAAAATACAGAAAGGATGTGTAAAGAATTCAGATATAATCATATATTACCACATATCAATGGTGTTGCACTATAAATCATGTAAAAGAACTAATTTCTTGAAAATGTTTCGTTGCGCAAAAATTTTCCAAAACAAAAGATTGTGATGAGGGAAGACATAAAAGTTAACCCTCAGTAGGCTTACTTTTATATTACTTATACTGCATGTTGACTTCTATTATCTAATTTAAATTGAAGATCCACGTATATTGATCTTGACAATCATTTTAAAACCAAAAGTTAACCAGTGTCCTCCAGTTTCATGGTTAGAGCATAACATCACTGACAAAGAGTGAAAGGAATCCACTTTCATTAGCTTTTTTGCTTGAGTAAAGATAAATACATTAATAGTCATTTAGAGCAGGAAAAAAGTGAAAGACAGACATCAACAACAGAAGTGAATGATAAAAGTAAAGTCTCCCATTCGCCCCCATCTTTAGCTGAAGATTTCATTGTGATGCAAAACAAAATGACAATAGCCACACAATACTAAAAGGTACAAGTTTTATGTTTTGTTCTGATAACACGCACGCCCAAAACTCTGATGTGCATAAAATAGAATCATAAGCGTTTTTGAATTTATGTGTATGTGTGGGAGGAGAATTTTAATCCAGAAAGCAAGTTATTTTGTACCTCTTTTTCATAAAAAGCATAACATATGTAGGATGTCACAACGACTACGTGGAAAGTGGAGTCCCTGGATGTGTATATTAAGCAAAATAAATTCCAAAAGGGGTGACCCAAGTTACTTTCACCGTCAAAAGTATAGCACTTACATCTCGCAAGAGCCTTCTTGAACTTTTTTCCTTTGACATGCCTTTCAACGTCTTGGGGAGCTCGGCCAATGTGTCTGAGAGTCAGCTTACAAAACAGTTCATGCCTAGATGATGTGAAATAAATATGATTCTAACAAGCAGCAAGAATGGCACAAGATTATTGAGACAGTATGATGGAAAGCTTATTACAGTCAAACTTCATGGTACTGCCACCTCCGCTTACCGCCAGGTTTTGCCAATGTACAAAAAGCATCCCCTATATATATAAACAATGTATTTGCGCCTTTACACTGCCATCTGCCAACTGTCTCAGTTGTACGGCCCTTATTAAACTACAGAAAATTTACCCCGTTGTATCGCCAGGAAAGTGGCCGCAAGAAGTACACAGTACACACAGCACATCCCCTCAGTGGTTGCTTGACAATCTTTCACACAAAAATCTCAACAAGTTAGGCCCAGGTCTACATCAAATGCTTTTCCCCGATTTGCTACCTCCCCATCTATCCCACCTCCCCACCTTCATTTGTACATTTCAAGCAATATGGATACATCTCCAGTGATGTAGTGTGTCGCAAGCGAACACAATATAATGAATAATGCAGAAAAGTATAACTAAAAAAAACACAACTTTGTGATTCAGAATCAAATTCCGCTCCTCGCGTGAAGGCGACTAAATATGATGCGCTGATTACAACAAAAATGCGACTTCTTTTCGGCGGCCTCGGTCAATACTCTTTTTAGATAGTAGGAATTACATTTTTAAGTCACCTGGGGAAACTTTAAAGGAACCTCGACATCTCCACCCCCTGTCAAAATATCTGGCGTCGCCAGATATCAACCCAGTATCTTACAGGCTGGCGAATGCCTGTCGGGTTTTTATTTAGTGAGGACTCCCGCTCAAGACTAAGTGATAGACATAAGGGAGATAACTCATCAATTCATCTAGTTCAATTGGTAAATAAGTTCCCCTGACCTTGGGCAGTCAGTGCTACATGTATTTAACAGAGGACATGAAAACCTTGTTGTACCACCAGCCCAGCTGTACCGCCAAGTCCATGCTCATCCCAAGGTAGGCGGTATAACAGGGTTTGACTGTACTTTACTACTGTCATTCTTTAATTCAAAAATAACTGTTTTAGCAAAAGGCTAGGAGAATTAAATATATATAATGCTTACATCACACATTTTAGGGTGATAATCCTTCATTTTCAATTTTATGTAAATAAACACATACACTTTTACAATGAAATGAAATGCTACTTCAAAAGGCATTTTGCAATCTTTTTGCGAAAGATTAGTACATGTGTACACCTTAAATTCTAAAAAAGTGGGATGGATCTATGAATAGAAAATAGAACTGATATATTATATATATGACAGGCATGGGAACTTATATATATCTTGTACAGGCCCTGACTCGATGTCATACTTTACATTAATATGTGAAAAAAGAAGACGAAGAGGGCATAAAAAATTTTAAGTATACATCACTCGATACAAAAGAAACACACAAACACAGATATGAACTTTCCCGAAAGACAAGGGACAGTAGATATCTAAAATAATTCTGGCAGGGAAAATCATTTCAAACATATAATGTTCATGCTGGTATGTTCTGTGCTAGGAGAACCTGTAACCTGAAACTCCTGATCGATCCCTAGCAGCAGATTGAAAAAGGCAAAAAACCTGTCACATTGTTGAACCTAAACATGTAATGAAATTTTAATGAACCCACTGGGTCCTTAATTGCCACCAGTTTAGTTTCGTAAGAGTTTTACAGCACTTGGAACACAACAAGGTTATAATAAGTAAGTGCGAAAAGAATAGAGATGTGCTACAAGAGAGTAACATACACAAAAAGTAGGAGGAGAGATAAAGACAATAGATGTTTAATAGGAAAGAAGGAGCAAACCACCGACCACCCCCTTGCCACCGATACACTGGTGACAAATAATAGAACCGCCAGAGCGCCAAATCATTGGTAGACAGGTGAACGAAACAGCATTTCATTGTTGGACGCAGCCATCCATTCCAATTTAAAGCAATGTGTACTACCGCAACTTCGGCTAAGGTCTTATTAAGATGTATGCGCTAATGTGGAAGATGTGGAGAGAGCAGTTTCATGAAAAATAAAATGATTTCGTCAAATATAGAGGTCATGAATCTCTGCGGGGCCAGGCAAAGGAGTCATGATAGCTACAGTGGGCTGAGCGAGTCAGGGATCAAAAGGTTAAAAAGTACAATTTTAAACATTGCATACAGGATAAAAAATTCCTACGACTATGAGACAAGTGCTGTAAATGTAAAACTCAAAAACTAAGGAAAAGACAAAACTCACAAATGTTTTTTCTTGGTACTAGGCATGAGGTGTGGTTGATACTGCTGGTAGTTGTATGCACGGTGCTCTGAAGCCTTTCTGAACTTTTTCCCCTTCACATAACTCTCAAGAGCACTGACAGTTGCTGGCATCTCATGATTTGTAAATCTGCATCTGATCTGTGAATTGAGAAGTAAAAAAATTACCTAAATGAGTTACTACAAAAATTGTCTGAATTAATGTGTGTGTGTGTATATATATATATATATAGTATATACGAGGGGCATTTTCGAAACAGTGACATACGACTGTCAGAAGGGTACTGAATTATGGTATTGTAATTATTGAAACAGGCAAAAATTAAACAACAAAAAAACAACAGACAAAGACAAAATGTAACAACTGTGGCGGTCTTAAAATCTACAGAAGGTTCACTGTTTCATGATTTCAAGATGACAATGACAATATAATACACACTGTAGTAAGAAATATAACTTCATGCCAGGAAGCAAAGGCATTTTGATTAACTTTGCAAAAAGTCGTAACACTAACTAAATACTGAAGACAGTGAAGAAGCATTTGGACCGAAGCATTTATATAGGCCTAGAGGTTGACAGAACAAGATCGACAGTAGACAAAATAAAAAGATATTTGAGGTTAGCTGTGTGATTCTCGTGAAAGTAGTCGAGTACGGTAGGCTACCTATTTGACATTGAAGAAAACAAGGACAGGCCGAGGCGTGAGCCACGGACTTTTGAAGACTGCGTGAGTAGCGGCCGAGGCGCAGAGCAGAGAGTTGTGACCAGTCAGTGCAAGTTGGATTGCTACAGGAGGTGGGTGTGCATAGTTAAACCACATGCGTGTATAGTTAAACTACAATATCATTAATGTTGGTGTGTCCGATGACAAATTGAAAATCAAAAGTAAAGCACTGGAATATCACAAGCGACACTTCAATTCAATTATAATACTTTAAAGTACTGATTAAGGTAGAGGTGAACTTCTGAAAAGCATTCCTTTCGAATTAAGAGATTTGATTGAGTTCAACATTCTACATCACCGCAGGCGGCATTTTTCCAGCAGACAACCAGTGCTAGAATCTAGTTGCCTTCCACCTACCACAATCAGTACCGACATCAGACACACCAACAACGTTGGCGATTTTGTAGTTTCGTTCGCTAAAGTCAAGCAGGGGGGTTTCAGGGGGGCTTGCCCCCCTGCCCTAAAAAAAAATATGGAGGTGGGGGGGTTCAGGGGGGCATGCCCCACTGAATTTTATCCTAATTTGATGTTTTGCAGTTAGGTTGCATCCCTGCTCTTTGTGTAGCCTAATTCAAATAGTATTTGGTCTTCAAGACTTCTGGATTTCTTCTCTGAATGTAAACAAATGGATCGTGGACTTTAACGAACGGAACTACAAGATCACCACAACGTTAACCTGCCAAATATACAAACAACCAAATTTTAATACTGCACTTGACTTGATCTAGAAGTCTGGCACTAAAACATCACCCGCTGTTTTTCCTTGTCCAAAACCAAAGACGGAAAGTCGTCTAAATATTTCTGTACATCATTTGAAGCCATGGCAAACTAGCCTACACTGTGTTGCATCAAGAGATAGAGACACGAAATATTGCACAAAGTTTATATTTAACCATGCGCTTCCTTGTCAGCCATGTTTTTCTCTATTTCCACTTTCGGTTTTGTATTTCCGCTTCCTTTCTCCATAGCGACAGATTGATGCCAATATGGTCGCCGTACCTGGGTGCCCTGGTTAAACTTGATATTCAAAGAAGCTTTTTCTCGTAAGTAAATAATATCAACCCTCTTTTCTTATAAGAGGTGCTAAATTCAACAGCCCATACAGACTGACGTATCATAATCGACTAAACTAGAGGGTAAATCCAAACAGTCCGATTTTAGGTGGAAATTGACTGCTTTGTTGTCATTTTTATTTGATAATAATTACGACCCTAATAATTAATTACACTAGGCCCTAGATCTAATATATAGAATCTAGGCCTAACGTCGTGATGCTTTGAAACACTATTTTTGGGAAGATTGAAGAATACCGGACCACTCGTACATTATTGCACGAGAAAGTGGGGTAGGCGGGGCGGGTGGTTGGGGTGGAGGAGGGGGGAGGGGGGGTTCAGGGGGGTCTCCTCCCCCCCCCCCCCCCCCCCCCCCCCCCCGACAAAATGTTAATGAATAGATCTACCGGTCCGAGATTCTCCATTGAGAGATATTAAAAACGGGAAAATTATGAATTCCTAAGGTTGAGACATAGGCAAAGTCAGTCCGCTGGTCCGGTATTCTTCAATCTTACCCTATTTTTTTATACTTTTTCTCAGTTACCCTCAAAAGAGAATGCCTTTTTTTCTGGAAAACTTTTAACTAAGTTTGAGAGCGAAAGTTGGGAGTTTACAATAATTTATCCAATTTAAATTCATAAACTCAATCAACATTTCACATCCTGAAAATATAGATCTAGATCTAGATCTAGATCTAAATTGTATATCTAGATTAGATCTAGATTCTAGATCTAGAGACTTTTAATGTTTTTGTTTTTTTTAGATTATGCTGCTTTATGAACTCTAAAAACAATAAGCGCATCTCTTCTTTTTGTTTGACTTTTTTTTCCTTTGTTTTTTCAGTGTAAAATACTAGATCCAAATCTAGATACAATGGAACTCGGATTTAACGAAGTTGTCGGGCCTGGCCTTCAGTTTTGTTGAATCCGAGTGTTCGTTATAACAAACTTGAGGTTTTGGTGTAGATAATTACAGGCATCGAGCAAATAATGTATAATTATGTATTCGATTTTCCTTACCAAAAGTAGTTTGGTTTCAAAGCATTTTCGTTTCTTTGATACCCAAGAAATGCTGGAAAATTCCAGGAAAATACACTGAACTCTACCAAGCAAGCACTGTGCAAAAGGGCCAATTAGTTCAAATGTACGCCTGTGTCATCAGTCATCTAAATAACATACTGTTTGCCTAATAAGTAATGTTGCTGTGTAGAGCCTAGCATATAGGGCAACTGTTGATTCCACTGTCCCGTGCACAATTCATTTCATAGATCTATTTCAAGATTAGCTTATCATTATAATATTGATCAACGGCGGATGTGTCTCGTTTGTATCCCTACTGACGTTCCACACCCGGACAGCATGTACCCCCACCCTCTATTCTCCCTGACACTTGCACACACAGTCACATGTTATACGTGTGCTTGCAGCCTGTCTGACCCTGATACACGCTAAGACATGGGTGGGTGCTAACAACGCGTGTGTTGGTATGAAAGGAGGCCGCTGATTGGTCGCATAAAGCAGTTCACCCTGCAAGTGGCTTCGTTGAATCCGAGCTGATTCATGTATGTGTTCATTGGATCCAAGTTATTTTTATTGATGTATAATCTGGGGAATCCAACTCTTTTCGTTGAATCAGAGTTTTCATCGAATTCGAGTTCCACTGTATTACGTGAGCAAGAGAATCATTGCCTCGAAAGCACAACACCTCAAATTAGGCTACATCTTAATTTTTATTTTATGTTCTTGAAACAACTAGCAAAAACACCAGGGTTCCAATGCTCAATGCAATGAGACACTAGGTTACCAACAACTTATGACCAATGCCATAAATTATTCATGTTCAGTGCCTCTTTAGTGCAATCAATTGATTTCAGTAGATCTGTTATCTATAAGTGGAAAATTCAAACACTTTTTTTAAAAAGTATGCACATTTTTTCATCTGTGTCTTTTGAAGTCACTGTGATGACTTTGAAATAAACACTTTCATAGCCTAGATTTATCTGCCCATCACAACAAAACAAACAAAATTTTGAAAATCTGTCATATCGGATCAGTCATGGGCTTTTACTTTTAGAATCCAAAACACCTCCAAAAAAGTTGTAGTTTTCATACTACAAGCACTGTTTTATGATCTGCTTACTCTGAAATCTGTGGATAAATACATACCTGCGGAGAGGACTAATTTTTCTGAAAACTATTTAATTTGATTCAAGTATCTTGCACATTTTATATTTTTAAGTTTTTATTTTCAGTTCACTTGAAGTTCATCTTATTTTTCTTTCTTCCAGCAACAGAGGCTGGTAGAGGAGCACCATGCAGTCAGGAGGTGAACTGCAGCTGTCATTGCAGGGCTCTCAGCAGGAGAGGGGAGCCTTGCTGCCTTCAGATCCAGGAAGAAACGGTGTGTATGTTGTTGTTATTATCAATCCTGCAACATCTGGGCTCTCACCCTTCTGTCCAATGCGCTGTAGTGATAAGTGCAGGTTTGCTGCAGTTTCTGTAGTGTTCTGTAGAGTGTGTTGTCAAAGTCAGGTCTCGGAGGGAGAAATATGGTGTGTAAAGGAACAAAAACCTTAAAATTTTGAATGGGTTTTACACTTTATGCCCTTTTGAAACTGGGTGGTTTTATTTTTAAAGTGGGCATTTATATTTATTGCTCGTGTATATAACAGTGCAAGGAAAATACAAAAAATCTAAAGGAAAAGTTAATTTTTCTGTTAAAGTGGAAATAGTCCTGAAAAAAAGTGGTTGGATTTGACAGACGGACATCTACAACAGTGTTATTATAATGTAGGAAAAAAATGCAACTGGAGAGAGTGGGAAGTTGTCTTGTGTACAGGTGATTGTCTTGGACAGGTGGCTGTTAGAGCAGGTTAGACTGTATATCAAAAGTGTTTTTTGCGTATAATTTCTAGATGAACCAAATACTGCCCCACAAAAAGTGGAAGCCCAGCATGTGTGTACTAGGACAAGAAAGTTCAGAATAGAGGGCTGAAGTTTACTTGCGGGAAACTCATTAGACCACTTACATTCAAGAGTTCCTCATAGGGCATGAGATGGACGTCTTCACTGGGACCATTAATAAATAGGTTTTTATTTTTCCCTGTGTCAATTAGAGGAATTTGCATCTTGCAGTGTACAAACTTTTTTCTGTTCATCAGTCATGTTTCCCTTTTCTTTTTCTTTTTCATTTGTATCAGAATATGAAAGTTGAAACAAAACAGTTTTTATATGCATGCATGTGAACATAATTTGTGTGCTTTTCAGCCTTCCTGCCTGAACTTCGGTCAAGCGTCACAGTTGATAAGACGAAGCCCTTGCCAACCTCACTACAAAGTGACTTCATTCCTGAAGACATTTTGTTTGCCCTCACTCAACCTCCAGCCACCAAAGACAAGTTGGGTCCCCCGTCACGAGTTAGGAATCTAAACACCACTTCCGTGAGTATGATGTTTGTGTTCATTTGTTTTTGTGCAGAAACTAATGACACTGATGTCATTGCTACAGCTTTTAAACAACAACAAAAAACAACAACCAGAAACATTTCTCCCATTCTTTCTTTAAAAATCCACTGTTTTAAATGTAAAGTGCATTTTGTTTTGAATTTTGTTCTAGGGAGCATTTGAATTGAAAGGAATTTTCATAACTTTTCCCACTTTAACTCTTCACTTCACAGACAGAATGAGAATTGAAAGTCTGAACAGATATTACAATTTGTGACAGTATTTTTTTTTTTTCAGGACAATACAGACAGAAAATTTGTCATTGAAAATGTCTTAACAAAAGTAGTTCTCTGAACCAAAAGATTTTGGTTTGCTGTCTCTCGTAAAAGAAACTGTTGAAAAAACACATGCTTCTGTTGTTGTTTCCTGAACAGGGTATCAGCCGGCCCCCTCCAGCTAACGTATGGAGCCACAAGCGGAGAGATCGCTTCAAGCACTTGATGGAAAACACTCCTTGTGCCTGCGGCGCTGGAAAGTATGAAAATATTTTCCACTTTACACCTTGATGGGATTGAGTATAGATGGACTAACTCCAAAATTTTATAAAGCCTGATTTTTTTATTTTGTTGTAAAACAGTGTCAAATATATCATCACGATAGTTGGTATAAAAATTAAACCTAGGAGAATTCATGAAATAGTGACTTGAAATTTCAGTTGAATTGGTTTATGATAGTTTAATCAAACAGTATTTAGCATCTTTTTAAAATTAGGCTTCCTGGGAGATGGCCCATCTGTGCCCAAGACAATCAATATTTTTTTTCTTTTTGAATCATACCAACCTGATTTATTCACCTCTTGAATTGTCTTAAACCGTTAAAAAGGGTAATTAAATACTAATTAAATCCATTAGTAAGCCATGATTAACCTGCTTCCTCATCACACCTTCAAGAGAGCTGAATGTGCATTCCTAGTATGTAAAACCTCCTGCAACTACTCTTTCTCTCCCCCCCCCTCCCCCCCCCCCCCCCCCCCCCCCCCCCCGACCCAAAAAAGAGGAATTATTTTTTGTTACACCAAGCATTTACCAAATGGCACTGGGCAAAGTACTCTCATCAAAAATTTACTGAAGGTACAAATGCAACGTCCACAACAAATGTAGATACAACAACATCAGCAGCAGCATTTGAAAAGAATGAACTCTCAGGTCTACCAACCTTGTTTGATTTTTGTTTGGAAAGGAGGGGGGGGGGGTGGAGAGGCAGTGATGTTGGTGGCAGGAGTGTCAGCCAAAAAACATGATAATCTGCAACTGCAGGCTGTTCCTTATGGATATAAAAGCGCATTATGTAAAAGTCACTTTTTTGTTTCCACAGGGACATTTCCTTCTTGTACGATGTACCTCAGTCTATGGTTCACCCCGCAAAACCTGACCTCCTGGACAAGAGTGCAGTAAGAAAGGGAGATGATCAGACCATTGGAAAGGTAAGATTTTGGGGTCTTGTTTTTATTGTGGGAAAATTCATTTACGCCTTTCCGATTCTCTCTCGCTAATTTAGTGTTTGTAAAAGGTCGGTGTGCTAAAAAATTGTCTTCTCTTTTTACTTCATTTTGGTCTTCTTTTTCATGTGCTTGATCTGAAACAGGCATCGTCAATCATGTTTCCCCACCAATTTCTCTTCTCAGATTCTCGGAAAAAAAACCCACTATTTTATCATGAATTTTTCTATCATCCATCTGTTTGGGTTGTGAAAGCTGCAAAATGCAACTCATGGAAGGGAATTACTGAATGAATGGAATGTTAAGCCTGCACTGTACTATACTTTCCCAAGACAGCTCACCAAAATGTTCTCTCTTTTGTATACCTTCTGCAAGTGATTTATGACACTGGAACTTGTTTTGTTAATATTTTATATTTCCAGCCCCTCCACCTCCCTGACACGCTCATTCCTGATGAGTACCATATCGTCAAGAACAAGGGTGTCCTTGGTATTGAGTACCATGAAGAGTAAGTCAGCTTTTTACTCGACAGATGTCTGTTGAATTTTTAGCCCTCTCTTATTGTGATTTTCTTTTTTTTCAAGTCACAGGGTGGTTTTATGGTGTCACTGGGAAGTCCTACGTCTGCACTTTCCTTCCTTCTGTTGTTCCTGTGTATCTGTCTTGCTTTTTCATTGCATTAAATGATGGTTATCATGTCGATGAGCAAAGATTTCAAGTCACAAAAGCAACAATGAAAATGTCAAGCAAACTGGAGAATGAGATACGGCAAGGTGGGACATCTGTCTTTGGTTTTAGGATATGTTCTTACCTTGTTTTTCTTCCAGTTAAATCAAATAAGAAATTTCCGTTGTCATTAATGGTTGTATTAGTTAGAATTATTGGATGAATAGACAGAGAGTTATGCTTTTTATAGGTAACCTACAGTTGAAAGGTTTATAGTAATTAATTTTACTTTTGTATTCTTGAATGACTTCCTCATTTTGAAATCACTTATTGCGATGTTCAAATGAATTGTAATTCTTATTTTTACCTAGTGGCATTCATTTGCAGGTAATAATTGATTATTAGAATGATGCAAAAGTGGGAATGTTCAAAATCTTAAATTAAGGCTTGATATTTCTGAGCACTATTTTAGACTTGAGTGTGATATATTATAATTGTAAAAAACCACCAACCTCGTTGCTCAGCTGGATGATAACTTTCTTGTTCTTCTTACAGCAAGTACAGCACAAAACCAGAGGATCATGAGAAACACTTGGTTTCCTTTCCCTCCATGTGAGTATTGTTACTTTTCCTTATTGTATTAATAACGTAATAACAAATATGTATGCATATGTGGTTCTGTTCAGACATGCCCAAACATCCTTGAGCATGACCATATTTCGTCTTTTACCATGCCCCTCTCTTTTTTTTCAGAGGTACCAATTTTGAGGATGAATAGGGAAATCTGGATTTCTGAAATGGTCCGGGTTTTGTCTGATGTGTGCATTTCATATTACACTTTGTATAAAAATAGACTTGATGCAAAGTGCAGTAGACAATATGATCTGTAAATCGGAGTTCCCACGCACACATTTCCATGAAATCCAAAAAGTTTAAGATTTTTTCGTTTTGTTATTTTGTAGACAGTTGGTACCTTATTTTTTAAATAACAAAGCTTATTTCACCAAGGAAACAGAATCCATAAAACAATCACTTTAAATTGACAGTGGTAGTTCTGTTTTCCCCCCCACAGGAAACCAGCCAGTCGCTATGAAGTCATTCAATTGAAGACTGCTTTGAACAACATGCTGGACAAAGCAGGGGTCAATGACCTTGACACGGACACAGGCACTGGACCCACACAGGTACTCTTGAACTGCTTAAGTGTATGTGGGAAAAAATAATCTGTTTGTATTTCTCCTGAATCATATCGCTCTTTCCCAGGATGATATCAATGATTTTGAGCATGAATGGACTGCCATACTCCAAAATGTTCTAAAACTAGTTTCTTTACTACATTGTAAAGCAGGATCAAAAGCATCATCCTATCTTTAATGGTGTAAAAACTCGACTCATAAAATTGTTTGAAACATCAATACGAAATTAATTTTTAGTTTGAAGTGGTCTTTGGTAGTCTGATTACACAATTTTAAGCCCCCAATGTAAAATAAGTTTTCAGGGAGGTGGTCCATCTGCCCACTCTTTCCCATGACACTATGACCTGTTTTTAAGGAATGATATTTCCTGTATTCTCAAATAAAGTATGAAGTTTGAGAAAGAAACTGCCCTGCAAATGAGTAATGAGGGTGATATAGTGTTGCTTCATGCTTGTCTCTCTTTACCCTGGCTTACTTTTTTTTTCACTCCGACCACCCCTACCCACCCCTCCTGAAACTATATTATGGTGTCTTGCTGTGTCTTTCCATCTTTTTTTTCTATTTAAGTCGGCTGTGAAGCATTAAAATATGCTCTCTCATATAAGAAAGAAAAGAGAGATAGAAAAAAAGAGACACTGACAGAGAGAGAGAGACACAGACAGAGAAAGAGAGAGAGAGAGAGAGAGAGAGAGAGAGAGAGAAAGAGAGAGAGAGAGAGATTTACAAGTAGACAGATGTGTAGACAGGCACCAAAAAAGGAGCCAACCTTTCTTTTAGAAAAGCATGTAAGTTTGACTTTGTCAAAACAAATTCATAAAGCTTTTCCACAATGATAAACAAGACTTCTTATTTAAATGGATATTCTGGACCTCTTTGCTGTCATGTCTATTTTCCTTGTGCCATGTATGTGTTACTATGTTTATACCAGATGCTAAGATTAATATTTTCATTTATAATGGTACCCCCCTGGCTGTAGACAAAAAGTAAGTTGAAAATAGAAACTATGATGTTTTTACCAACAGCTTTATTCATTTGGAAGTTCTCACCATTTTTTTATTTTTTTTTATTGACGTTTGTGAACTTTTCAAAAGTTTTTATCAGAATAAGAGATTGTTTGTTGTCATTTCATCTGTTCCTCTGCTTGAGGACTTTCACTCTTTAAGCTACTATTATTTTTAGAGGGTTATCCTCTTCCAGCAAGGAAGGCAGGGAATGCTTTGGTCTTTCAGGGAGAAGCACTTACATCAACACTAAGTGTTTTTAACTTTGAAAAATTGCCCACCATCGCATTGTGATATGTGTTTCTTCCACTTTTGTATTTATGTATTGTTCTTGCTTGCAATGCACACATATTATGACCTTATGCAGTTGCGAGCGCCGTAAAACCTCTACTAAAACAAACAAACATATTATTGGGCCTTGAATAGTTCTAAGAGAGTTGACCTCCTGCAGGCCAAGCCAAAGATAGTAAATAACAAGATGGGCCACTCAGCCAAAAAAGTGTCCGCAGGAAGTATGCCCTTTGCTTCAGATGGCGCTGCAGTCTGTTTTAAAGCTCTCTTTCGTTTTTCCAGAAGAAGGATAGGAATAGCACCTCCTTGCGTGCGCAGATCGACTGCTGTTCATCAGCAGTTCGGTTACGTTCAGTGCGGAGTTTTAGGGTTTTTTTTATTTTAATGACCTCTCGCCTTTCATTCTAAAGTCAAATTAAACGAAGAAAACCATCACCTTTTCCTCTGGAAGAGGTTTTTTGTCAGCGTAACCATTTTAAAAAAGAGTTCTTCCGAAATTTATCCCAAAACTTGCTAGTTTCACTTTGATTTTTAAAAACTCAAGTAGGGTAACTCTGTTCGCAAAGAGTGCGCTTTTGTGAAGAGGGCGCCACCAAATTTTGAGGACACTTTTTTAATTGGCTCAAAGAGAGAAGTGGCCCATCTTGTTATGTACTATCTTTGGCGAAGTTAAGAAGTTTGCTGCAAAAGAAATAAAATGTTAGTTTTTATATTGAGCATGAGATGATTCACAAACTAATTCTGAGTACTTTTTAATGAAGAAATATTTTCAAGGTGTTGTGGAACAAAAGAAAAAAGCGGCTGATCCATTGAATCCTTTTTAAGAAAAGTTTCCTTATTCTTCATTTTAAAAATTGTTTTTAGTTGTGAGGCTTGATCATATTTAATATATTTCCTGCTTGTTTATATCCAATGATACATTTAGATCAAGGACGGGGAGTGGAGGGTTGTCTTTATATGTAAACTCAATGCTACATTTAGATCTATCAATAACCTTAAAGAGTTTCTGTTACTTTTCTCTTTAGCCGAAGGCTCTTTAGGTTGTGTCATGGTCGAGCCATACCTGCTCTGAGTTTATTGTCAGTACAATGAAGAAGTAAAAAAGTTTTTGTGACTGAATATAAGTAGCCTATAATTGTTGTAGGCTATCAGTCATGTCATCATTAAGACTTGTAGAAACAAAGGATACAACAATAATTTTGTTTGATTTAAATTTTGAAATCAGAAAATTCTTTTGTTGGTTGTTTTTTTTTTAATTCTATTGCTGTATTTTGTTTTTCCAAACGTCACAAGTAAAGTAAAATACTGCTTCTGCACTTGCCTAGATATTTTGAGACCATCTCACAACAAAGCATTGTTTGTCACATTTAAAAATTATATGCAGTAATATATTAAAGAACAATTGCTTCTTTCTTTTGAAATGCTCTTGTAGTATTCACAATGCTTATGCCATTTTACACTGTTCAGTGTCTGATACGGACCTATCATATGTCAGAATACTTAAGCACAATTTTGTCTTATGCATGTTTTGACAATTGATTGTTTCGTTGCTGTTTTTGTTTGCACAGTAGTAAGTAAAGTCTTTTTGATAAAAAGGAACCTAGTATGCAAGGTCAAAACAGACAAACAAAAAGACAAACAAATAAACAAATAAATAAATGAACAAACAGATCAAGCATATAACATACAAGCAAACCAACAATCAGACATATATCTCGTTTTATCTGCACCATTTTCTTTTTTCCCTGTTTTCAAAAGTTTTTGGGTTTTTTTAAACATCTGGCAGATATCACAGTGAGATTTTTTTTACATGTAGGGCCTTCTGAGTAACAAATAAATACCTGGTTATCTGAATGACATACTTTTTAAAGATTATAACATTTTTAAAACAAATCCTTGAGATTACCTCATCCTGTTGCTATGCTAAGATCATGACCTTTGAGAAAAAGGGATCTAGTACGAGAAAAGAAGAAAACATTAGGGGTGAAGATTGTCATACTGGCGTCTGTGATGTAGCAGTAGACCCCTTGCCATTGCATGCAGAAGACATAAATTCGATTCCCGTGTCAGTGTCAGGGATTTTTTTTGCAATAAACATTTCTGTCTGTCTGCTGGAACATTGCACCTGTCTCATCAGGCATTGGCTTTGACAGGCAAGGTGAAGCACATGCTTCCTAAATAATCTAGATTATATCAATGAGGGTGTAAAACTTCTACCACTCACTTATATACTATAGTTTGACTGCGTTTTGTTTCTGATCTCATGGACTAAATGCTAAACTTTTGGTGTTCTTGTGGGTGGCTGGCGGATGCTCTGGTGAGGTTTGCTCCTTCTTTCCTATCAAACATCTATTGTCCTTATCTCTCCTCCTTCTTTTTTTGTGTATGTTACTCTCTTGTAACGCCTCTATTCTTCGGCTCTTATTATATGACCTTATTGTGTTACAAGTGCCGTAAAACTCTTACTAAAAGTAAACCTTTGCCGTCCTTGTGTATCATCATTTGTGTTTCCCAGATGCATAACCTCCTGGAGCTGATCAAGAAGGAACAGAACATCTACAACATTGTTTTCCATGAGCTTATCAGACAGGTAAGTGGAAGGGCAGCTCCGTTTTTAGGGGGAAAAAAGTAAACTTTTACCCTCTATTTGGAACTTACGTGACCTAGTATGCACATCTGGGCTCTCCGTTCTTTGTGAAACCACATTTAGGTCACCATGACGTCATGCCTGAAAATATGCTTTTCACTTAAATGTAAAAAAAGAAAAGGGCGAGTGCGGGAGTGGGGAAGGGTGTCAAAATTATTTTTACCTGTTTTATATGGGGGGTTTTTACCGCTGCACATGCTTTCTTCCTCATTTACTTTACTTTGGTCTACAACTAATACTCCAAGAGGTGGTGCTGAAAGAAAGATGCTTTTGTTTGCTGTTAGTCAGAAGGCCTGCCTTTTAGTTGTTTTTGTTTTTGTTGTCTGATGCCCTATTATCAGTTGCCATTTTAATAATGTTATTCATATCAGACAATGATTGGCCATGAGAATGTGAGTAAGTAAATACAACGATATTTCAACGCCAAAAACAGAGAAACAGGGTTTGTGAATATTAATGTTTTGATATGATTGTTAAATTTAATTTGGTTAATTTTCGTTTAGCTTTTATCACCTATTCTCCTGATGCTGTAAGAACCATTTCAACATATGAGCCGGACAAATGGCATTGACAATGCGCTGTATTCTGAAAATTAAAATTATAGCCTTATTCTTGGCCTGAATTGGGTTCTTTATTTGTCTGCGTTTTTATTTTTTTTACAGACCAGCATTGAATGTGTTGAGAGAGGTGAACTTTTGGCAGAACTGAGGAACAAGTACAGTGACCTTTTGAATAAAGTTCCTCAACAGATTATGAGGTAATGATTATCTTTTTTTTTTTTCTTTTTTTTTAACTTTAAAGGTTCATTAAAATTTTTAATGCACTGCAATTCTCATACATAAAACTAAAAGATAAAAATGATAACTTTCCATTAGATGTTCTTTTTCATACCATTTAGTATTATTATGCTTTGACTACCTTTAACATCACCCCATCTCTCCCAATTATTTCTTGAGGCAGCACAACCCCAAACAGAATGATAGAGATAGTCTATGAAATTGGTTTCCGTAGGTGGGATCACATCATGTGTGCACTGTTGAGAAGAGCCTAGCCACTGTACCACAGCCACTGTTCGTGAATTGATAATGTGCAAAAAAAAGAGTACAGATTTAGCTTTTTATCATTTCGAATAATGTAATCCACAAAGCTCTTAACACTTTGCAGTCACACAGCCAGCAGTACAAAATACCCCATCTGATCACCCAGTCAAGAGAATGACTGCGACCGAATTATCGGACCTGGTGCAGAACTGTGCTAGGTGACCGGAACGGATAATATTCACCTGTGCATTATTGGGCCAAATGACCGCAAAGTGTTAAGAGTCATTCCCTATCTCATTCATTATTTTGCTACTCGCACAACCCCTGTTATATGCCTGATAGTGGCATTTTCTCTTTTTTTTTTTTTTTGATGGGGGGTCCCTTGCCCATTTCTATTAGATTGATGCCATAAGATTAGTAGAAAAAGGTGCATATGATAGTGTCCAATAGTGTATTCCGTACATACGTATTATAACGTGTAACTGTTACAGATAGAGATTCAAGGAATATAGATATATGTCAAGGGTCTGAGAGCAATGATGATTTTAGATATATGTTAATGGTTGTGGTGAGTGATGATGTGGGATGGTTAATATGTAATGTTAGCATTTTCTATACTATTTGGGGGCACTTTTGACCATTTTTTATTTCTTCTTCTGTTTCTCTAGCTTGCATGAGGAGGTTATGGCCCAACGAGCTTTGGACAGGCGACTGACGGATGAGCTTATGAGATTCAAGGGAACTATCGGGGTCCTCACAAGGTAAAAGGGTGTGATATGAACACTTGATGAGAGCGATGAGAGATAGGAATTATTTGTTGACTTTCTCCGTTCAGTAGCACAACAAAATGAGTCAATTGTTGCTCTCAGTTGTTTCAAGATATTGGGCAAGACCTCAATTTTCTAAAAAACTACACGTTTCTTACTCCCCAACTTCTAGTGACCACAACTTTGAGATTATTAACCCTATCCGTATGCCCTGGGGTCATTTTGTACCCCCGGGGATGTATTCTTCACATTTTAGAATAGCTCTAGTACGAAGATCTCTTTGAAACTTTCAATATTTCTCAAAAAATCATTTTGACAGACTGCTATGTAAAGCCTATGGATCGGATTAAAAAATAAATTTCCTCTTTTGAAAGTGGTGGCACTGAGTTCCCCACGTCATATGGATACGATAGTAAAAACACAACGTACGGATAGGGTTAAAGCAGCAAGGCTTATATTGTTTTCACCCACTTATAGTGCTTAAATGGAGGTTTAATTTAAAACCAGAGGAGTTACTTTCACTGTTGAAATGTGACATGCGACACAGTATTTCATAAGGCTTCACATTTGTTGTTAACCTGTTCCCTGTTGCTAGGGCTCAAACTCAAGCAAATAGTTTTTCCTGGTGAAACTTTGGTCATTTCATAAATGGGAAAAGCATTTCCCTTGAGCATTTTGGTTAAATTTTTCTGTTTTCAGTTGCACAGTGCTTTCTCACTGTCTCATTTCTCGTATTTCTTAAAACTTCACCAAAGACAGAAACCCAAGACATCCATCTCAACTCACACATGATCTGATATGTGAACTATACAGTACATATGTATATTTTTGTTCTATATATAAATATTAGTCCAGCTTTCTGTGAATCATGAGAAGTTTTTCATTTTATTTAGTACTTATAGTCGAAGTATATCAATGGGTGCTACGTTCTAATTAGGTAACTGGTTTTTCAAACATTTTTCAACACGCAAAAAATTGCCCTGTCAATTGAAAGAATGAAAGAAGACAAAAAAGTTATCTCACTGTAATTTTACACTATTATATATAGAGTATTTTGTTCAGAAGACTTACAGATCAGCTTCAGCAGTTGTTTTAGGACAAAAAAAAGTTTAGGTATTTCTTCAAGTTGCAAAGTTAGAGCATATCATCTACATAATTATTTGTCTACTTCAGTGAACTCACCGAGGTCAAAGAGCATGACAAAAAGGTGACAAAGGAGGCTCAGAAGGCTCAGCAAGATGTGAGTAATTTATGTAATACAGATAGAATAACAAAGAGTGAGATGGGGAGAGAGAGAGAGATAGAGAGAGAGAGAGACAGAGACAGACAGACAGACAGACAGACAATAGTGATAATAGATAGCTTTTGTGTCGTGTAAATTTTCACTCAAAAGCAAGCTATACAATTACTCCATAGATATTATTAATATCATCATCATCATCATCGTCATCATCATCATCATCATTTTTTTAAAGCAGAAAAGACAGTGAGTGTCTTCATCATCATCATCATCATTATCATCATCATCATCATCATCATCATCATCATCATCATCATCATCATCATCATCATCATCATCATCATTGTAAATAGCAAGGAATAAAAAAGGATTGAAACTGCTAGAATTTTCAAATTTTATACAGGTTCAACATTTTGCCCGCTAAAGGGCTTCTTCATCATCACCATCATCATCATGGTGGTTATTCATTCTCTTCCAGCTGCGCAGTGCCTTAGCCGAGTCTCAGAAGAACGCCAGCCTGCTGGCCGAGTACCACGACCTGTATGAGCTACAGAGACGACGGCTGGAGAGGCAGGTGTTTATGCTGTCCGAGGAGAGGGAGATTTGGAGCACTGCTGCTTACAGTCTGGCTCTGAAGGTAGGATGGATGGATGGATGGACAGATGGGAAAAGTAGTGAATAAAGGAATGAGTAGAGGATATTTAGTCTTGAGAGGCCGACTGTTATTTATGCTGTCGGAGGAAAGGGAGATTTAGAGCACAGCTGCTTACAGTCTCGCTCTGAAGGTAGGATGGATGAATAGATGGATGAAGAAGTGAAAAAATGGAAGTTGTGAATAAAAAGGTATTTATGGGAAAACGCAAATGGGTGAATAATTACATGTAGCAAATGAATGGAAGACGGAATAAGAGTCAAGTGTTTTTCTACTGCTTACAGTCTGGCTGTTAGGAAGAGTGAATTGATGGGTGCCAGTATTCACGTTTGCTGTTTTTTAAATTCACAATTAACTCTTCTAAAAAACAACAACCATAAATCTAGATAAAATAAAAACATATCAATGCAAAATCCAGACCACCACAAAGTATAACCGTGTGTTAGATGAATGGATGACAATGACATTCACCTTTCACTTTTCACCTATCCCATAGACTGGATGTCCGTCAGGGTGCTTTTGACGATTTGTCCACCAGCTTCCTCCACTCCTTCTGGTCTCCAGCTTTCCTGAGCGTGTCTTTGAGTTTCGGGCCTGTCCATTCCTTGATGTTGTCCTCCCAACTCTTCTTCGGTCTGCCTCTGCATTATGAATAAAGAAATGAGTAGGAACTCCTTGGATTGATGAATGAATGAGATTATGTAGGCATGTGGATATTTTAAAAAGACTAAATGAGGGACCTTATATGGGCTGTATTCAGCCACAAAAAAAGACATACCCCCCTTCCCGCTACACCACAGACGCTGGTTTACTGTTTATTATCAGCATGAATAATGTGGATAATGATAAATCTCAGTATTACTGGGGGGGGGGGCTCCAGTGGCTAAGGGAGTAGTGATTTCAGACTCAAGTAATGTCAAGCAAGTGTCGCTGACGCGGGGTTTAGATGGGTGGTCACTGGGGTGTGTCCTTGAGCAGGACACTACAACCCTTGCTCAAAATACAAGGCGCTGCACAGTGGCGACCAGCAGTGGCATGGTTTTGAGATTGTTCTGTACTGGTGTAATATTGTGTATTTATGTATGCATTTGTGCATGTATTTATGTGCATGTATTTATGTATGTATGTAAACCAAATTGCCCTTCTGGGATCAATAAAATTGTAATTCATTTATTATATTTATTATATTATAACCTCTGTGTCTTTTATGTCGTATTTCTATAAACAGGTCACTGAGGAGTACCAGCTGAGTACAGCCAAAAGATTGCAGCTGTCGGAAAAGGGATGGGTGAAGATGGCCAACCATTTCACAATACTGCTCAGTGATAGGGACACAGATCTCCTCACTAAAATTCAGGTAGGCCTAAACTTCTGACTTTGATTTTCTTTTAAAAACGTGTGTTTGTAGTTGTGAAATTTGGAAAATAAATCAAATGAGGTAGTGCCAAAAGAAGCCAGCATGAGATGGTCACATTAAAAACAATTAGGAAAAGACAATAACTGAGATTTTTGGTTTCATAATAGTTTTTATTTCACTACGTTTGGTTCAAATTTACCAAAACCCTTTTTGAACATAAACACTTGATAACTGGAAATTTCCAAAATTTAAAAAAACTGCAGGTGCTAGGTTACTTGAATAGATCTATATATAAAGGCATTGAGCATCTTGTTTTTACCAGAAAAATAAAAGACTAAAGAGTCAAAAGTAGACCAAAAATAACTTACATAAAGGATTTGAACAGGTGAGTGACTGGAAAAGATCATAATAATTTTTTTTTGAGAGCATCCGAGCAGAGTGGCAAGCAATAATTCTCAATGTCTGTTTCAGAACTAGCACGACTTAAAGAAGAAGAAGAAGAAGAAGAAGAAGAACAAGAAAAAGAAGAAGAAGAAGAAGAAGAAGAAGAAGAAGAAGAAGGAAAAGAAGAAGAAAAAGGAGAAGAAGAAGAAGAACAACAACAAAAAGAAGACGGAGAAGAAGGAGAAGAAAAAGAAGAAGGAAAAGAAAAAGAAGAATGAATAGAAGAAGAACTGTATTACTGCGTTTTGGGAAAGCACTCTTCAATTTCTTTCAGTTACACGGTTAAAGCATAATGCTTTCGATATTGTAATGAGATAGTTTTTTCCAAATCTGTGGTCTGTAAAAATATCTTATATTATACACTTCTTGTTCTACACTGCTGTATACTGACAAAAAGGTCTTTGTCTTATTCCCTGCAGTTTTGAAATGAAAAGACATTTTATCAGCGTAATCATTAAAAAAAGGCGTTCTCCCGAAATTTGAATGTTAATTTATTTAGAAGCTAGTCTTATTTTCATTTTGATTTTTTCACACAAGTAGGGTAACTGAACAGGCTGTGAATTTCGCAATTTAAAAAATTTGGTTCCAAAAATGAAAAAAGGTGTTTTGTCAGCATGCGATGCGGCAGTAAAGTGGTTGTTGGAGGGTGCCACTGGTAGGTCGTACTTTTAAACATTGTCTCTCTTTTGTTTTTTCTTTCTGTGTGTCTGTGTTGCTCATCCCCATCACTAAATGACTATTATCATGCCAGTGTAAGTGTTTTTACTCAAAACTCAAGCTCATGATTTTTATTTCAGGGATTTGTTGAGAACTGGCGTGACCTGATTGAAGACTTCAATATTGCCCTGAAACAGAGAGAGGATGAGATGAGAGAGAGTCTAAGGGGTATCCGTTCTGGTGTTGAAGAATTCCTGAAAACTTTCCAGCAAAAATACCTGTAAGTTCACGCTCAAACGTACATAGAGACACACAGACACATGCATATACCAACCTACAAACGCACACATGCATACTTGTACGTGCACATGCACATGCACACGCACATACACTCAAACAGGCACACATACACTCACACACAGATATATATATGCACACACTCACTCTCAAATAGACACACACATTCACACAGAGAAAGAAAGAGAGAGAGAAAGAGAGAGAGAGAGAGAGAGAGAGAGAGAGAGAGAGAGAGAGAGAGAGAGAGAGAGAGAGAGAGTTAGACGCTAAACAAATAAGGTGTCAAAATTTTTATTTAGCTATAAGAGTGTGATTCTTTGAATCCCATTTTCTCTAAACAGTGAGTCATAGAGTTAGAACTATGCCATTGAGAGAGAGAGAGGGGCAGACGAGAGACAGAGACAGACAGAAAGAGAAGGGGGACCTGGAGGGGGGGGGGGCATTTGGTTGAATTGATTATGAAAAGAAGCAAGCACTCTAGATCTATATCTGTGAGAGGAATTTATCAACGATAACGATTTATAACAGGGATCAAGACGGCGGAGTGATCAAGAAACCTGAAGACGACTTTGCCCGTAACCTGGTCGGCAGTATCAAGTCGTGGGATGAGGTAAGATTTCTGGCCTGTGTGTTTGTCTCTTTTCCCCTGCTTTTGTCATCTGTCTATTTCTTCACATGCCTAGTGATCTGTCTTATTGCCTCTTTCTGTGTCTGTTTGCTTATAATATGTCTGTGTGGCTGTACATATGTATGTTTGTCTGGCTATCTGTTGTCTATTGATGTACTTGTATATAGATTTGTTTGCTCTTTGTTGTTTGGGTAATTATTGTACCCTTTGTATTATCATCCACCACGTACATCATCATCATCAAAATCATCATCATCATCATCACCATCATCATAGTAAGAATAATAAGGAAAAAAAAACCAAAATGGCGAAACGTGAGTATTTGAAGTGTTATAGCATTTTGGAATATGTTCGACATTTCACCTCAGTGGGCTTCTTCAGAAATGTGATAAAAAAGAAATCATCATCATCATCTTCATCATCATTGTATAAAGCAGATATTAAAACGGTTAAGACCTAGTAGTATTTCCAAAGATTTAATCACAAGTTCAACATTTCGCCCTCAACGGGCTTCATCGGGAACATTCAAAATATAAATGACAAGAATCTAGATCTACACAAGCTGTAAAAACCAAAGTGCGTACAACGCTAAAGGGAGCGGAGAGTACAAATCAAAAAGGCCAGAGAGAGAGGAACACTAAGGCCAGAAGTGGTAGAGAGGGAGAGAGAGAGAAAAGGGGACAGGTGCATGGAGGTAAGGAATATAATAACTGAATGGTGCAGTGAACACAAATCGGAAAGGCATCATCATCATCTTCACCAACATATAAATTATCATCATCATTATCACCATCATATAAACACATATATCATCATCTCTATGTTCAGGCCATCATCATCATCATCATCATCACCATCATATAAACACATATATCTTCATTTCTGTGTTCAGGCCAACATCATCATCATCATCACCATCATATAAACACATATATCATCATCTCTATGTTCTGGCCATCATCATCATCATCATCATCATCATCATTATCATCTTCATCATCATCATCATCATCATCACCATCATATAAATACATATATCATCATCTCTGTGTTCAGGCCATCATCAGAGAGACGGATGTCTTTGGTGGAGACAGCCTGCTCAACAACCAGGAAGAGTTGTCCCACATTCGCCGGGAGATGGAGGGTTGGACGGACAATGCCCTCAAAGTGTTTAGCCGTCACCGTGGCACCGCGGGGAAGACCCATCCTGACCAAGTGGCGATGCTCGCTATGAATGAGGTCAGTCGGTGTGTGGGATTTCACATAATAGTAGTATTTGTGATCGTGTATTTAAATATTATAATTTGTGTCTGATTGAGTGTGTTTCATAGAATAATTAAATATCATTTGTGTCAGATGGACTGTTTGAGATTCTTTGTTTGATAAGAACAGGGGGAAAAATGGCGAATTCATTTTCAGGTGATTTGGAGAAATATGAAATTTTTTCGAATTTAGAATCTCATAATTTCCCTCGATATATACAAAATGTTCTCCCTTCAATTCAACCAAGATCTTGCCATGTTTCCCCCTTTAAATTTAATGTAGCATCGAGGAGTAAACTTGAAATAATTCTTTTTAGAATATGACTGCCATTTACTGAGGACCCACAGGTGACCTTGACAATGGTATTTGAAACAAAAACATGAATTGACCTATTTCTTCTTAATGTTTAGAGCATAACGGCAACAATAAAAATCAGTGAATATTTCATTAGAAATACAAATATTCTCTCTCCCTTAAGCATATTTTTTTCCATTGGTCTGACACAGGAAGTTGACCAGTTGTTGACCCAGTTCCAGCACAGGATCACAGGAGAGAATGGTCAGTGTCCACTTTCTCAGACTTACTTTATTTTTTAGGGTGCGGTGGTGGAGCGGTTAGTGCGCTCGTCTCCGAAGCGGAAAGTCCGGGTTCAGGCCTCGGTTCAGACACAGGTTTTTTTGCCCCCTCCTGCCCACCCGGCAGTAATGGGTACCTGACTTTTGAGTTGGCGAAGTAAAGGCGGCGTGGAAAGGTACTGGCCACCCTATCACAATATGCTGAAGGCCCAGGAAGTTGTCACTGACGAGGCAATCCCCCTTGTCCGGATCAGATGCAGGAACAACTTTACTTTTACTTTACTTCTACTTTATTGTCCTCTGTTGCTGTTAAGCGTCAAGGGGAGATGCAGTTTTCTCAGAAACAGTCTTAGAATGGATGTCCATCAGTCAAATCAAATGTATGAGGAGGTCATATCAGGCCTGGTCAGGCCAGGTAATGCTGCTGGCCACTGCAATACACAATTTTAAAACAAACCTCTACTTTGCTTCATGAATGTCATCAACCAGGTGTCTGTCTGTATGCTCTTTTATGCTCTTTAAAATCTGTTATCAACAAGACAGACTCTGCAACATTCCAAAGCATTCTCAGCCCACTGTGAAGGGGGTTTTCTTTTTTAAGTGTCAGATTTGAAAGTGGCCTTCTTTAAAATTGCCACTATAGACTCCTAATAAACCACATTTCTGTTGCCTCTACCTCTAGTCCCTTTTTTTTCCTTCTCATTGGTAATTGTCCAGCATTCACAGCTGTTTTCAAGGGTCGACCTCACACAGGCTTTTTTTAATTGATGTTTTGACTGTGATTGAGATTTTTACAAAAAATTTTAAGGATTTGACTCATTTTATTGAGATTATCTCGAGCTATTGCAACCCTTCCTTTCATTTCTGTGGTGCATTTGCCAGCAGATGTATTATAAAGTCTTGAAACAGTGGAGTCCACCTAAACTAAAATCTGTGGGGCACCTGGATTTTCTTCGTTGAGCCGGATTTTTGGTTTATAGAAGTTGCTGAAAGAAGAAAACTAAAACAAGGGATTTTATTTTCTTTCGGTTTACCGCTCTTTCAGATTAACCATGTGTGATTTAACTCTTTTAATACCATTGGCGACTTAAGTCACCGACTCAACCAAGCACACTAAACATTTATACACAAAAAGGGCCCTTGTTCTGAAGTAAATAACAAAGGAAGTCACTCTATATGATAGCTGAATGGTGTATGAAACTGTTAATTTTTAAAGCATGTTTCTTGTGTTTCAAATGGGTTGGGGTTTTTTATTTTAAAAAATACTACCATGGTTTCAGCTTTCTAAAGTGATGTGGTACTTCGCGTTTTTTTCACCATATGAGCCTTAGGTACTGTAAATGTTAGAAGGATTCCTCTGTATTTCAACTTTTGATCTTATTTTCACTGTGTTAGCTCTGATTTCCTAGCATTCACAATAAGATTAAGAGAAAGAGACTCAAACCGTTTCCCTCCCCCCCCCTTCCCTCTCCCCCTCCCTCTCCCCCTCCCCCTCCTGCCCCCGCCCGCTTCCCACATCCACACAGGTGTGGCCGGCCTGATCATCCACCTTCAGAGCGCACTGGAAAACTGGGAGACAAGGCTCATGTCTAGCCTCCAGGGGGTGCTCAACCTGCAGGAGTCGGACTGGGGCAGCCTGTACCAGGCGCTCGAGGACTGGCTGGCCTCCCTTGGCCAGGCCGTTGAGTATGTGGGCACCACACAGAAAGACGAAGACAGACAGGATGGTCGCCCCCACTCTAGGTAGACTTGTGGTTTGAAGGTGTCGCGAGAGGAGAGGTTTTTGTCCCCAGTACTCTTGTTCTTTGTTCTGTGGATGGTTTTTTTTTGTTTTGTTTTTTCTTGCTTTGGGTTTTCTGTTGTTGTTTTTTTTGCTTTGGGTTTTTTGTTTATTTTTTTGGTTTTGTTTTTTGGTTTTTGGCTTTGGTTGTTTTATTTTTTTTTTTTATTTGGATTTGTTTTTGTTATTTTTCCATCTTGTCCAGTTTGTTTTGTTTTATGAGAGTAACCAGCTGACAATACACCTCTCCTCTCTTTTTGCGGTTGTGGTTGAAGTATGCCTACCCCACTCTCTCAATCAGTTAGAATTCACTGATAGGTTTATCGATTGTGTCAAAAATTACCTTGCTTCTAGAACTTTAAATTATCTTTAACTGGAGTCAAGTGGTGGTTACATTATCATCATTATCATCGCCATCAACGTCATGCAATTCTGTCACCTTTTTTTTTTCATTGTCTCCATCATCCGTCTTGTCATTTCAATCATCACACTCACTATTAACTATAAAACAGATAATGACAACAACAACAGCAACAACAACAGCAACAACAACAACAACAGCAGCAGGAACAACACATGCAGCAACAGTAACAAGAACAAAAGCTGCAACAACAACAGCAGCATTAATAAAAATAACAACACAACAACAACAACAGCAACAAAAGCCACAGCATCATCAACCGCAGGAGCAGCAACATCAGAGACAGCAGCAGCAGTTTTAACATCCATATTTGTTAATATTGCATATTTTGTCCATTGTTATGTTTTTCATTTAAATTTATTATTTCATACATTTTGAGAATGGGGTAGGCATCTGCTTTATTTGTGTGTGAAGCAAAGCGCACGCTTTTACCTTGTGATGGTTTGGATTCTGCACTGTTATGTTCTTGTTTTATTTAGTTTTGTTTTGGGTTTTTATAAGAAAAGCTTATTGTGAATGGAAAAATAGCATCTGTGAATACAGGCACATGTCAATGAACTTGCACTGCTTGTCGTGAGCTTTAAGACTAGGAGTTAATTTGTGTCTAGCAAACTAATTTGTTTGAAATGAATATTCAAAAACATGTGAATGGTCTGATAGTGAAAATCATTCTGTTGCAGTAAAGTTTGAAAAGAAAGTTTTAAAAAAGGATATTGGTAAACTTTTCATTTTTTGTATATCTTTTTCAGAAAAAAAAGAAAGCCATCAACACCTTACTATCAGTAAATCAGTTTTTTCTTTTCATTTCTTTAGAGAAACTTACTTCTTTCTGTTAATGGAAAGTAGTTGTAGACTTAACCAATTAAACATCAAAATCATTAACTTAAAAAATGACAATGCTTTATCTGTTTTGTTAGACATAATCCTTATTAGTTGAAATTACGTGATTTAAGAGACTATCAAGTTTTTAAAATATGCCCGAAGCTAATTTCTGACACTGAGACTTGCAAATTAATACATAGTTTGTCGTTATAGAAATAAGATTAAGTTACAACTCTTTTCATGAGGCCTCCATTCCATCACAACGAGAGAGAGTTTAGTTTCTCTCTTGGCACAACTGATGTTCACAGCTGACACTTGTCAGAGTGCAACGCTCACGCAATTTGAGTGACAGCTGTCAACACCAATATCCAGATTATGGTTACCTTCCCTGATCAAAACCGCAGCCTTCATGGGCATTCCACCCAGATTGGGGGCAAATTTCTTCACTGAAAAAAAATAAAGATTGATACACGTAAATTTACTTGAAAATTGAAAGCATCCACAGGTCGACACTGAGTGTAGTAATACGAGATTATGTGTTCATGGTTAATGGAGCTTATTGCTTTGTGCTGCTATGCCCTATGTACTTAACATACACGTAACACATACTTTAAGATGTTTTAATCTTCCAGGATAGAACAATAGCATTTTGACTTAAACAGTTCCTGGTGGATTGTACCATAATTTTGAAAATAGATTTGATCTCTCTAGGTATACAATGCAACAAGCACTTTGTTATGTTTTAATTCTATAGGATGGGACAGTAACCTTTTAACTCAAACCATTGGTTAAAAAAATTGTCTTACCATTTTGAAAATATAACATACTTTATACTATATACTATTATAATCTTAAGTGATGGGATAACCTCTTTTAACTTTTTTTTAAAATGTGTGCGTTACTTTGACAGCGACTTTGCACTCTTTAGTAATCAGATATGTATATATGTACTTTTTTCATTTGAAGATTGACTAATGGAACATAATTAAAGGAATAGTATCCCGTAAAAGAGTAAAATCTACTATTCTCTCACACATCATAGTATGATCTACCTGAAGCGTCTTGGATTCTTTTACACTCTTACTCTATATCTGAGAAAACACGGGTTCTAGATAGATTTTAATTTAGTATAATACTTAGTTTCCTCTTTTTTTTCCTTTTTTCTGTTAGCCATGGCCTCCTTCTCCCCTTACTTTCATGTGCCGATAAAGAATGAAATAGATTTCTATTTTCTAGACCATTTTTCACAAGAAAAATAGAAAAATGATATTTAGCACTGTTGATAGTGTCAGCAATGTAGACAACTAGGTATCATGTATGATTGGGCTGGGTGGGGAAACTATATTATAAATATTTAAAATGTTCTTCTTCTCGAGATTCAGCAGCCCAAAAGCGAATCCTTGTTTAAGTAAGGCTCAGAGAAAGTATTCTATTCTAACCTCTGCACTAGATAGACACTACTTTGTGTTCTTTTGCTTTCACCGTCACTGTGACCTGCTCTTTTTTTCATCTGCCCTCAGTTGCTTTTACAGAAATCCCAGTGTTGGTTCTTGCTTTTTTTAATGATTGCATCTGTTAACCACAATAATTTTAGAAGTTTATTGATAATCCATACAACACATATAATAATATATGTGCAAGAAAAAACTTTCTTTCTCTAAAAAAATTTCTTTTCAAATGTTGATGTTTTTACGCCCCCATCAACACAATTTAAATCATTTAGGAAGGGCTTAAACCCTGCCTGTTAGGGCCAACACTGAGACATACATCTTGATAAAAATTCTTCTCACACACAGGAATCAAGCTCAGGTTTTTTGCTGCGGGGTGGGAAAGGGAGGGGGGAGGCGTGTCAAAATCTTTGTTTACTGGAAAATAAAATAAATTTCAAAACGACTTTCTAACTGCTCATTAAAAAAGTACAATAAACAGAAAGTGATGATTGGCCTTAATGCCTTATTTCAATGAAAATGAATGTCACCATTAATTTATGGATATACTGGTACTTATCGTGTCTCAAGCTAAATATCTTTTTCAGCTTTAATGTTTTTCTCCATGGGTGGTCGGAGGGTGCCACTGGAAGATCCTATTTCTTTTCAATCCTTCGACTGTTTTTCTTTATTTCTATTAGCATACTTTTTCCCATTAGTGTGCGGAGGTATTGCTCTTTAGTCAAATTTACAAACCAAACATTTTTTAAGACCATACCACACCTGCTATAGCATTCTTTGTGAAGTGAAGATGCAAAAATAAATGCTTGATTCCACATGTGCCATGCTATTTCTCTCTGAAGTATTGATATTCACGACGTGGTGAGGAAGACTCAGAAGTGGGCCACCACAGCCAGCAACTCCATAGACAGCGAAGATGCCAAGCTGGTGGAGCAGGTATGTCCTTCAAAAGACGCTGATAATATTGCTTGTAAATTTATGCCATCATTTAAACAATTTACTTGTACTGTACCCCGTTTTGTTAAATTTTGTGTGCTCTTGTTTGTCAACATTTTTCCCATTTTAGTTTTTATGCAGATGTTTTGAATACGCAACCTGAGTCACCAGTGTCATGTTTTCCAATGCAGTAACGCCCCTTTTAGCATTTGAATTCACAAATTTCTTTACAATTTGCAAAAATATCAAATTTCAGTCCCATGAGAAAAAAAAGAGTATACAGTAGGTATAATATAAAGAGTTGATCTTCCACTGGTTTCGTGGTAAGGGCATAACACCATTGGTATTATGATTTATATTTTGTCAGTCTGCCCTTCACTTTTGAATGCTCACTGAAACTGAATCTGTCGGCCCGTATAGCTTCTCTTGTAGTGTCAGTGGGGTTGGCCACATTTCCTGTCTCAGGGCCTTGTGTGTCTTGCAGTGCTGAAGGATGTGTTCAACAGAACTGCATACATGATTATATATAATTTACAATGTTGAAAGTGTCTTGTCTTACTTAAACCACCTCCTTCCTTCCCCCCCCCCCCCCCACCCCCACCAAAAAAAATAATTTTTAAATCCCCTCCTTCACTCCTCGCACCAGGTGAGCTCCCTGCATTCGGAGATGATTCGCTGGATGGTGCAAGTCCTGCTGCGTCTGGCCCCGGACAAGGAAGGCAACTCCAAAGAATCCAACGAGATGGCGCTGCTGGGCAGTGCGTCGGTGCCCCAGCTCACAGAGGTGGCCAAGACGCTGTTCGAGAGCCTGGAGACGTTCTCCAACTACGTCAGGCTGTGAGTTGCTTACTCTTTGGGATGTGGTAGAAGAGAATATGTGAGGCAACTAGGTGAAATCAGGCGCTCGTCAAAATAATGAAATTGAATAAACTGGCTTTTTCCCACCGGTTTGGTAGTTTTTACCTAATTTTTATTTTTTGGCTCAAAGCCTTTTATATCCATTTTAAAAAATGTCTATGTGGATTTTACTGCAAAACGCTGATTAAAGGTACAAAATATGTAATTTGTCCGTTTCCACAGACTCACAATCTAAAGAAATGACAAAACTTCTCGCTAATCTTGCCTCTAAAACCAGGCAACCCCCACCTCCTTCAATCACAAATATCTCAACTTGTATTCAAGAGAAATAGGTATTTCTTTCATCAAAAGAAAGGCAAATAAACAGACTTTAAGATGATACTAATAACTAATAACTAATAACTAATAAAAGTGAAAAAAAATACCCATCTATCTTAAAGGGAAATCGAGATATTTGCAATTGAAGGAGATTGGATAAACTGTTTTCTGGGGTAAACTTTGCGAGAAAATGGCCGCCAAAGTTTGGTAACTTCTATAGGTTTATAGAGTCCTTGAAAACTAGAAATTCACATATTGTTCCTTTAATAAACGTTTTTCGGTAAAATTCAAATGCAAATGTATTTTTATATGGACAAAAAAGGTGTTGAGCCAAAAAACAAAAATTCGACCAAAATTGCCAAACTAGAGGAAATGCCTGTTTCTTCGATACCATATACGATGCCTCAAAATTATTTGGTCGCTTAGAAAACTCTCCTTGTCTTTTAAAGAAAGGGGCAAAAGCTTTACCTTCGATTTTCTCGAAACAGCTTTTTTCGGGATAACCCCCTTGTGCTTAAAATGAACAAATGATCTAGATTGTGTTGATGGAGGTGTAATATACCTACAATAAATTCCAATTGACAGGTGCTGCAACGGGATCGTGATGGAGAACACGCAGGCACGACAGGACAACAACGAGGACAACGCGGACCACGAGCTCAAGGATCTACAGAGGCTCAGGGTGAGTTAATATGAGTTTGTTGGGGGAGGGGAGGTTTTGGTCTTTGTTTTTTCTCTTAACCCTATCCGTACGCCCTGGGGTCATTTTGTACCCCTTGTGTTGCATTCTTCTCATTTTAGAATACTTCTAACTTCTAGTACACGGATCTCTTTGAAACTTTCAGTATTTCTCTAAAAATAGTTTTGACAGACTGCTATGCAAAGCGTACGGATCAGATTAGCGAGTAAATTTCATCTTTGAAAGCGGTGGCGCAGAGTTCCCCACGTCGTATGGATACGATAGGAAAATACGACTTACGGATAGGAGATGGGGTGGGGGAGGGGTTGGGCGAAAAATCGTCTAGCTATAAGGAATATGCTCTTCAACCCTTCTCTGTAGAATATCTTTTTTTTTTGTGGTTTGTTAGGGAAAAACAAAATCATCATCTTACGTTAAAAAAACTAAACACACACACACAAGACACAAGAGGGCAGAGATTGAAGTCTTGACCAAGTTGAGGCAAATGGGAAGCCTTCTGTCATGCATGTCCATGCATTGAGCAGCTGCTGCATTCTTCCCTTTTGTAGTTGTTAGCACCGTAATTTTTTTTTTTAAAGAGTTCATCTCCACCATAATGCGATCATATTATTCGTCATAAAGGAACGGTCTATTCTCCTGCTCACATGGGTAAGTCACAAGGGGATGGGGAGGGGGAGGGAAAAAAATCTTCTCACTATAAGAAAAATGCTCTCCAACCCTTATCTGTTGAGTATCATTTTTTTGGTTTGTTAGGGGTAAACAAATCATCACCTTACGTCAACTTACGTTTTAAAAAAGCACAAGAGAGCAGAGATTGAAGTCATGGCCAATTTGAGGCAAGTGGAAAGTCTTCTGTCATTCATATTCTTGCATTGAGCAGCTACAGCATTCTTCCCTCATGTAGTTGTTAGCACCATAAAAAAAAATTGTTGGTGGTTGGCGCGTGCTCTGGTGTGGTTTGCTTCTTCTTTCCTATCAAACATCTATCGTCCTTATCTCCCCTCCTTCTTTTTTATGTTTATTACTCTCTTGTAACACCTCTAATCTTCTGGCGCTCATATGACCTTATGCAGTTGAGAGCGCCGTAAAACCTCTACTTAAAGGAACGATGTATTCACCAGGTCGGTACATTAACACAAGGAGCTCTCTCGAGTGGCACTGATGAGGAATCAGATTGAAAAGTTTGTCCAAAGGCCCAGAAAAAAAACCCAGTGGTGGTGGTGGTGGTGGTGGTGTGTGTGTGTGTGTGTGTGTGTGTGTGTGTGTGTGTGTGTGTGTGTGTGTGTGTGTGTGTGTGTGTGTCTGTCTGTCTGTTTGTGTGTGTGGGGGGATGTGTGTGGAGTTGTTGTTTGTTGTTGTTTTTTGGGGGGGAGGTCGTGGTGTTTTTGTTTTTGTTTATGAGGAGGTTGGTTTTTGTTTGTGTTGGGGGGGGGGTGTTGTTTGTTTTTTGGGGGGTTTTTTGTTTGTTTGTTTTTTTGGGGGGGGTTAATTCACGCACTGAAAGAAATCGAATTAATTAGCGCGCATAATCATCTGATCAGGATGTTCAGAAAAGGAGGCCAGAGGATGTTCTTGTCTGTGTTTGTCTGGCAAACTCTAATCGCCTTTAGACTATATTATGTTTCTGTCTCGTCCATATTTAGATTGAAATTGTGTGTCATGTTTCAATAATCTCATACTGGTACGTGAACGTGACAATTGAAGTTTAGTCTTATGATCAGCTCCTTTTTTCCCTTGTTTTTTTTTTTTTTTGGGGGGGGGGTCTTTTTTTCGTTCGGGAATGCAGTGAGGTCGCTTAACATGAGGATAATTGCCGCTGGGACATTATTTCTTTAGGGTTCCTGTTGTTGTTTCTGGCTGTCTCTGTCTGCTTTGTATTTTTTCTCTGGTCTAAACGACAGATGTGGTATCAATGTGCTTTCTAATGAAATCACCGGTGGGTTGTTTGGTTGAGGTTTTTTTGTGGGGTGGGGGGGGTGGGGGGATGGGTGGGGGTGTGCTGCCATTATAAACATTGTTCTTAAAGCCCTGTTCTTTTGATTGCATGTGTCTGATGTGTTCGACACGTCGTCCCTGCAGTATTTCAGATTTTTTTGTGGGTGTTTTACGGCGCTCGCAGTTTCATAAGGTCATATCAGCGTCGGGCGGGACACATTAAACATTTTCAGTTGGTAAGAAATTTTGAATTTTGTCCGTTTGGCGGCCGAAGCCTACTCTTATCGATTTTAGACTACCAAGGGATCTTTAACGTGCACAACTTTCATACAGAACCTCCAAGATTTGTTGCCCTTGTCCGAGAAGGCTAGGTGTAGATCTTTCCTACCAGAAGATCAGGGATGTGGCTGAAAGACAGCAGTAAGAAGGAGCCAGGGAGTAGCTGTAGAAAGGCTGCAGAAAGAGTCAGGAGCCCAAAGGAGGGGCCAAGGAGGTGAGGGGGTGGGGGGCAGAAAGCGGAGACGACAGAACATTGCTAGAGAGTAGGAAAGGAGGTGAAAGGAGACAAGTTTAGAGAAACCCGGATTCGAACCCGGGACTTTTGAATGAGAGGCGAACACCTTAACCTCTAGCCTGCATTTCAGACAATAATATCGCTAACTTAGTGCAATGCTGTCATGCACAAACTCCTTTTTTCCAGTCTTTATGAAAATAGTTTTGAAAGCACTGGGTTCCCGTCGCGAAAACGGGAATCAGCGCCATAGCAAACATAATAAATTTAGTTCTACGATGACATGGGTTGTTAATGCATACATTTTGGTCTCAAGTGGAAACTTTTTCAGCAGCTTAGACAGCTGTGCAACAAACTCCTAAAAGTCGGAATTTGGGGTTCTGTGCAAGACAGCACCCAGGTCGCGATATGGTTGGCTTCAAAACTGACTGTTGGCTTCAAAATGTGTAGAGTGTACTGTATGGCATCCTTCAGTCTCAGGAGACTATATGGATCTGCGCCGTGGGAGATTTCTCGAGAGCTGCGCTTGCTGTGGCTGAACAGGCCCACACGGGAATGACAGTCCCTGTTGCAGTGGCTGCACTTGTGAGTGGTGTCTTCCTGCGTTGGTAGCCTCTGGCTGTTCTTTCGGCAACGCGTTTGTCCTCAGCCAGCAGCCTGTCGCAGTCGGGCTTTACCTCAGACGAGACCAGCTCTCAGCGCCTGTCTCCATTTGTCGCGATCGCACGCCAGTGTCTCCCACCTCCCAGTGTCCATAGCTCGCGATTTCATATCTCGCTTGCACACATCTTTGAAGCAAAGATGGGGGCGCCCTTGCGCTCGCTTTCCGGAGGTCAGCTCACCGCACAATAAGTCCTTTGGGATTTTTCCATCCGGCATGCAATGCGCACGTGGCCAAGCCAGCGGAGACGGCGCTACTGTGGCGTGGTGAACAGACATGGGATCTGCACACGGGTGAAAACTTCGACGTTGGGGACTTTGTCGCCCCACTGTATATCAAGGATGCGTCTTATACGGGGTGCCCACTACGGACAGGATCGGCCGATCGAGGCGATCGCCCGACTCGACCGCCTCAAAAACAAACATGTTTGTTTTCAGTTTCAGGCGATCGAGTCGGGCGATCGGCCCGATCCAGCTGTAGTGGGCACCCCGCATATGGAATGCGTTGAGCCTTTTTCCCTGTCTGCTGTACAGGGTCCAGGTCTTGCTTCGGTACAGCAAGGTGTTGAGGACACAGACCCTGTAGATGGCTACCTTGGTCCGAATCGTTAGCTTGTTGTTTTCCCAGGCTCTCTTTCTCAGTGTACTATAATAATTATTATTATTTATTGTTTTCTATTCTCCCTCCCCCCTCCCTCCCTTCCTCCCACGCCCTCCCCCTCCTCCACAGAGTGAGTGCGACGACTGGGTACAAACGGCCCAGATCCTGATGTCCCAGCTGACGGGAGAGTCTATAGAAGAGCTGTTCCCTGCCCGTGCCTCCACCACGCTATCCAAGAAACCTGTGACCCCTGCTCCGGAGAACAGGGTGGCTTTTGTGGACATGGAGAAACTGGGGGATTCTACGGCGCGACAGGAGGTGAGGGAGGAGAGTTGTGGGGTGTGGGGGGGGGTTGGTGTGGATGTGTGGGTGTGTTTATGTGTTTGTGGGTGTTTGTGTGTGTGCAGCAGAGAACAGGGTGGCTTTTGTGGACATGGAAAAATTAGGGGATTCTTCGGCTAGGCAGGAGGTGAGGGGAGTTGTTTGTGGGGTGGTGTGTGTGTGTGGGTGTGTTTGTCTGGGGTGGTGGTGTGGGGGGGTTGTTTGTGGTGGTGGTGGTGGTGTATATGTGCGTGTGGGTGTGTGTGTGGGCGTGTTTCGGGGAAGAGAGAGAGGCTTTTGCGGACTATGAGAAGCTGGGGGGGGGCGGGTGTTTGTGTGTTCGTGTGTTTGTATGTTTGTGTATATGTGTGTGTGTGTGTGTGTGTGTGTCGCACGCTTCTAGAAACCTGGGTGGTTGGAGGGAACCACTGGTTTCTCGTCCTCCTATCTGTCTCTTGTGTGGGCTTTTTTTTTTGGAACAATAATTGGGTATATTTATTTTTGTAATTAGGTCAAGAGAAGTATATTGTAACTGTCATTTCCTCTTTCTTTCTACTGTCCCTCTCAGGTGGGTGGTTGGCGTGTTCTCTGGTGTGGTTTGCTCCTTCTTTCCTATCAAACATCTACCGTCCTGGTCTCTCCTCCTTCTCTTTCGTGTTTGTCACTCGCTTGTAACACCTGCTCTAATCTTTGGCACTTATATGACCTTATTGTGTTGCTGCAAGTGCCGTAAACTCTAACTAAAACTTCGGCACTTATATGACCTTATTGTGTTATAAGTGCCGTAAAACTCTAACTAAATCTTTGGCACTAATATGACCTTATTGTGTTGAAAGTGCCGTAAAACTCTAACTAAAACTTCGGCACTTATATGACCTTATTGTGTTGCAAGTGCCGTAAAACTCTTAACTAAAACTAAAACTGTCCCCCTCTCCTCAGTCGACCGTGTCGGGAGAAACGAAAGAGGAAGGGCCAACGTCCTCAGAACCAGATGCCTCGTCGTCGGTGACGGAGACAGCTACGGCAGACACAAGAGACGGAGAGCTTACCTCTGAGGTCAGTGAGATAAGATTCATCACATACAGCGAGCGCACACTACTACCGATCGAATTCCTTTAATTAAAACCCTATCAGTCATACGTCGTGTTTTACTATCGTATCCATAAGACGTGGGGAACTCTGTGCCACCACTTTCCAGAGGGGAAATTTACTCGTTATTCCGATCCGAACGCTTTGCATAGCAGTCCGTCAAAATGATTTTTTGAGAAATACTGAAAGTTTCAAAGAGATATTCGTACTAGAAGTATTCTAAAATGTGAAGAATACAACCCCGGGGTAAAACATGATACCAGGGCGTACGGATAGGGTTGAACTTGTGTCTGGCGCTCATATGACCTTATGCAGTTGTATGAGCGCCGTAAAACCTTACTAAAACTATGTCTCCTTATGCGCAACGGGGCGTCGCACGCGGTCCTTTCCGTTCCAAAATCGCAATCGGCCCGATCGGCCGATCCCATCCGTAGTGGGGACCCCGTAAAAGATTTTAAAGAACATGCCTCCTACTTACACGCGACGCGACGCGACGCGACGCGACGTCTAGCCGCGCGCGACAGTCGCCTGCAATTGGTCCATGTAGCGACATCGTTGCGCGCGACATACTGGGGGGTGTGACAGGTTTAGCATCACCACTGGTTTAAAATACATGTACCAAGCCAAGGGGTGCCTGTCGACACGCCGTGTGTGGGGCTGTGTGATGTGGTCACGCATAATTAATACAGGGTCCCCTCTACGGCTGGGTTGGGCCGATCGCCCGACTCGATCCCCTGAAACTGAAAACAAACACGTTTGATTTTTAGGTTTGATTTTTAGGCGACCGAGTCGGGCGATTGGCCCGATCGCCTATTCCATACATAGTGGGAACCCCGTATAAGGATACACACAGTAATACACACCTCGTTAACTCATCGCAAAAGACTGTCGCGTCGCGCATAAGGAGATATAGGCTTTGCCGAGGCCAGATAAATTTTTCTATATGAAGGGACAAAGACTAATTTTCATACGAACAATTCGACCGATATCAACTGAATTTGATTTTGACTTTTAAAATTAAACTTTGGAGGGTCAATGTTGCCAGTCGAACTGATCAAATCATTGTGCAGAGATTGGAGGTTTTAGTCCTCCATGAAGGAAAATCTGGCTGGATTCGACTTAGTTCAACTGCATTTGATTTGCTGTGTGTACTTCAGAGTATAAGATCGTTGATGTACTTTCTATTCTGTCTATGAACGTTTTGTTAATTTGTTTGTTTGTTTGTGTAAAGAGTACTACATCAACACACGTAGGTGGTTGGTAGTTGGTCTGGTGTGGTTTGCACCCTCTTTCCTATCAAACGTATGTCATGCTTATCTCTCCTCTTTCTTTCCTCTATACGTTACCCTTGAGTAACGTCTCTAATCTCCGGAACGTATGGACTAATTTGTGTTGCAATTGCCCTAAAACTCTTACTAAAACATCAGCACACGTGGATGGTTGGTGGTTGCTCTGATGTGGCTTGCTCCTTCTTTTCTATCAAACATCTATTTCCTGAATCTCCTCGTTTTGTTTTGTTTGTTGTTGCTCTTAAATAACAACTCTAATGTTCGTTACTTATATTACCTATTTGTGTTGCAAATGCCGTAAAACTCTTACAAAAAATACTAACTTTAAATCCCGTCAACGCCCGCGATATAGATCGTCTAGTGCACCGAAAAAGAAAGACAGACAGAAACGAATAGGGGGAAGGGGGGGGGGAGCTGTACAAAATGATTGACCACAAAAGGTAACTTCACTTATAATTGACCGGTATTTTACGCATAAAAGAAAGAGAGCATGCTTCCACTCACACACAAGCACGTACACACCCGCGTGCGTGCACACTCACACAAACACATACACACACACTCACACACACACACACACACACACACACACACACACACACACACACACACATACACACACTCACTCAAACACCCGACTCCCTTTGCAAATACTCCAATCACGATGTTCAAAAGCCAATGTGCCTAGTCACAAGAAGCATTTAGCAATCGATTGGAAATCTATAACATTTTTTACACTTTAAAGTTTTCTTTGATTCTTTTAAATCTGCGGATAGGGAAATCGGTTAAGTGCTGTAAACACAGGGCACTCCTCGCCCCTTTCTTTGTGAGTCAGAAAGATATATAGAGAGATATATAAAAAAAGAGAGAGGGTGAGAGTAGAGAGATGCCAGTATTTTTCCTCTTTTTTTTTTTTACCCTGTCCATTTCCATCAACAGGCGATTTTGTGTGCAGAAATTTCATCAAAATGTCCTACGTTTTGGATGTTAACGCTAACTGTTAATGTTAATGTAAACACATAAGAGAAATTTGAATGAAATGTGCCCCTGGAGAGATACCACTAATCTTATATCACTCCTTTATGACCCTTGCACCAAAGATCGTGTATATGTAGTAGAGAATCTTTGCATGCACATCATCATTGCCTCATTATTATGGTTTTGGACCTGTCCACTCCCAGTTGTACGGCATCGGGAGCCTAGGACCCTTAATTGTGAGATTGCGGGTTCGGGGGGTTCGAGCCTCAGCTCCTTGAAAAAGGCCCTCTAATCATCGGCACGTATATGACCTAATTGTGTTGTAAGTGCCGTAAAACTCTTACTAAACCTACAACTTGGCACCGGTGGCCTAATTGTTAGGCTCTCAGACTCGCAACCTTAAGATCGTGGGTTCCAATCCCGTCAGGTGCCCGACGTTATGTCCATTGGAAGGACTTTGCTCGAATTTTCCTCATTTCACCCACGTAGAAATGGGTATCTGGCATAAACAGTGAGAGATCTTGCCAGTTTGTTGGTGTTTGAGCGCGTGAAATTCGCAGCTTGCACTGTATGTTTCCTGGGAAGCCTGAGAATGTTTCTGAGTGTTCTCAGAGGGTCTATTGGAGTAATAGGGGTATTAATAGTTGTAAAGCGCGTACAGTCTGGATGTGCACTATACTATTATAAATCCAATTATTATTATTATAAGGGGGGATTATTACTACTCTTATTATAATTATTATCATTATCAGTATCATCCCCACTATGATTATTAATATTATCATTATTATTATCATTACTATTATCATTATTATTGTTGTTGTTATTATTATTATTGTTATTATTATCATTATTATTATCATTATTATTACTATTATTATTATTATTATTATCATTATCATTATCATCATCATCATCATCATTATCATCATCTAGTGCCAGATCTGCGACAGACATCGGCGATCATGGTTTTCCATTCATTCCTTTGCTCGGATGCTCTCAAAAAAGCTACGTTTCCCTGATCTTTTCCTGTTACCCATTTGATCATCACCATCATGATTATTAATATTATCTCTATCATTACTATTATTATTATTATTATTATTATTATTATTATTATTATTATTATTATTATTATTATTATTATTATTATTATTATTAACATTATTGTTGTTGGTGGTTTTTTGTGGATTTTTTGTTATCATTATTATTACTATAACTATTATTATTATTATCATTATTATTATTATTATTATTATTATTATTATTATTATTATTATTATTATTATTATTATTTTTATCAAAACTAAAACTCCAACTCTTATCCAAACTCAAACAACAACACTGACTACCTATCACCAGTCGGACGAAGCAGCAGCCCCACCATCAGAACCGACCCATCCAGCACAGCCGGACGCGTCGGAATCGAACCAACCCGCCCCGCCTGCCGCGTCTGCACCGGCACCTAAAGCAGCCTCTCCCGCCAAGCCTGCGGAGCAGCAGGGAGAGAAGATTGAAGTGCTGGGGTTCGATTCCCAAACCCACAAACACATGATTGAGGCCGCTCAAGCGCAGGTAATTGATTGATTGATTGGTTGATTACTTTTCGTTTCTGATTTAAGGTTGGGCGGATTTGGGGGGGGGGGGGGGGTAGCAGTGCGCTTGTTTCCAAAGCGGAAAATGTAGGTGGGTGGTGGCTGCTCTGGTGTGGTTTGCTCTTTCTTTCCTATCAAACATCTATCGTCTTTATCCCCTCCCCCCTCCTTCTGTTTTATTTTTGTTACTTTCTTGTAACACCTCTAATTTTCGACACCTATATGACCTTATTGTGTTGCAAGTGCCGTAAAACTCTTACTAAAACTAAACTAAAGCGGAAAGTCCGGGTTCGAGCCTCGGTTCGAGCCTCAGTTCGGACACGGATTTTTTTCGCCCCCTCCTGCCCACCCAGCAGCAATGGGTACCTGACTTCGAGTTGGGGAAGTAAAGGCGGCGTGGAAAGGAACTGTCCACCCTACTACAATGTGCCGAAGGCCCAGGAAGTTGTCTCACTAACAAGGCACTCCCCAGTGTCTGGATCGAATGCGGGAACAACTTTTTAATTATTTTTTTTAGCAGGAGTTTTGTGGCACTGACAACTCTGTTAAGTTATAACATATTAGTGAGGCAGTTAGAGATGTTACAGGAGTTTCTTGTTATTGTCTCTGTCATAAGACAATTGTTTTTAAGTCAATACAGAAAACTTTAAAACAAACAAACAAAGAAACAAACAAACTAGCGAACTAGCAAAAACTAATAACAATCCAGTGCTTCCCTACGTCAACCTTAAAATTTGAATGAAAGAGAAAATGTCTAAATACTCGTATTAGGGCGGGGGGGGGTTAATGCACAAAACAAAACCTTGCTATGCCAATACCAAAAAAAAAGTAATAGAAATGTGTACTATGTCACCTTTACCTATCTCGTACCCTGTTATGCTGATACCAGTATGTGTATGTGTGTGTGTGTGTGTGTGTGTGTGTGTGTGTGTGAGAGAGAGAGAGAGAGAGAGAGGGGGGGGGAGAGAGAGGGAGAGGGAGAGAGAGAGAGAAAGAGAGAGAGAGAGGGGGGAGAAAGAGGAGGGGAGATAAGGGAATGTCAACGGTGCCTGTAGTAGGCCTGTTCCCGTTAAGGGATTCGCCTCCACACAAGTGCATACAAGTAGTAGAAATGTGTACCATGCTACGTTCACCTGTCTCGTACCCTGTTATGCTGATACCATACAAGTAATAGAAATGTGTACCATACAACCTTCCTCCTCACCAACTCCGTACCTTGCTATGCTGATACCATTTACAAGTACAAGTAATAGAAATGTGTACCATACAACCTTCATCTACACCTATTTTGTACCTAACCATGCTGATACCATACAAGCACAAGTGATAGAAATGTGTACCATAGTACCTCCATCTTCACCTATCCCGTACCTTGCTATGCTGATACCATACAAGCACAAGTGATAGAAATGTGTAGCCTACCATAATACCTTCACCATCACCTATCCCGTACCCTCTAATGCTGATGTCATACAAATAATAGAAATGTGTACCATAATACCTTCATCCTCACCAACCCCGTGCCCTGCTATGCTGATACCATAATCATCATCATCATTGTCTTTCTCACCCTGCACCAGGGTATAGGCCGCGGACAAACACCTTCCACCTTTCTCTATCCTGGGCTAGCCTCTTGATGTTATTCCATGTCGTCCCACTTTTCTGTTCATCGATTTCTGTGATTCTTCTCCAGGTTCCACGCGGTCTTCCCCTTGGTCTCTTACCCTGTGGGTTCCAATCCAAAACTGTCTTTGTTATGTAGCTGCCTGACTTCCTGAGAGTATGTCCAATCCTTCGCCACCGACTTTTTCCTACCTCATCTCTGACTGGGATCTGTCTTGTTTTCCTTAACATTTCGGTGTACCATAATGCCTACACCTATCCCGTAGCCTATTATGCTGATATCATACAAGTACAAGTACTAGAAATGTGTACCATAATACCTTCATCTTCACCTATCCCGTACCATGTTATGCCGATACCATACAAGCACAAGTAACAGAAATGTGTACCATAATACATGTACCTTCATCTTCACTTATCCCGTAGTCTGGCTGACCATTGGGGCACCAGAGCAGATGTTACAACCTGCTTCTTCCACTCCTCTCGGCTCTCAGCTTTGTAATTCTAAGGGAGCGATTTGGCTCGGTCCTTTTCGAGATCGATGTTAAACTCGGAGATCACGCCTGAATAGTTTTGATAGGGGCGTTAAAATTATACCATTTAACAATTGGTCGCTTTTAATTGTTTTGAGAAAATCGAAGGTAAAGATTTTGGACCCTTATTCAGTTTCTTTAAAAGACAAGGAGAGTTTTCTCTATAACCAAACAAATAAATATACTCACCGATGTGACCAAAATTCTCCTTTAGGGAGGACTATGCCCACTTTTGGTGTAGGTCAATATTTCTGGAAACCCCCGAGATCTGGGTTAGCCCGCTTTTCCTTAAAAGCGACCAATTTCACTGCAAGATGTTGCTATCCTCCTTTGTTTTCATCTGCCTTCCTCTCCATTTGCCTCTTATACAATATGTAGATGCGTGTTTCTTTTCGTATTGCCGTCCCCAGTCGCGTCCTGTCCTCTCATTGATGTTACTTCCCCCTCACACTGTATACCAATTACCAAAACCCTGAACAAGTGGATGGTTGGCGCTTTCTATGGTGTGGTTCGCTCCTTCTTTCATATCAAATATATTATATCGTTCTTAGCTCTCCTCCTTCTTTTGTGCGTGTTACTCTCTTGTAGGCCACCTTACTACATTATTCCGAAGGCCCAGGAAGAAGTCTCACTTACAAGGCAATCCCCTTCCCTCTATTGCGCTCACACACATTCACGCACGCACACACACAAACATACACACACACATTCAACGCACACACACATTCAACACACACACACACACATACACACGCATACACACTTGCCCACACACACACTAATACACACACAGATACACACACAAACACACACACACACACACACACGCTCACACACACACTCTCACACACACACACGCATACACACACATACACACGCATACACACATGCATACGCATACACTAATACACACACATACATACACATAAACACATATACACACATGTATATTCACACACAAACACACATACATACACACGCACTCACGCACACACATACACATACATACCTATACTCACGAATTCTCTCACACACCTTCTTCAGCAGATCCTCCCTTTGTTCAGTGTTGTTTTATGCACTTTGATTATAGGAGGGAGGGTCTGCATATCACCAGAGACAGGTTGGAAGAGAATTTCTGTCCTCATTTCCTTCTGTCTTAAATTTTCCTAGGAAATAAGTGAATCAAAATGTTGAAATTATTCATGCTTTCCGTTTGTGTATCAATCGATTCAGATTCACTTTACCTTAATATCTTGTGTTTCCGATCCATGCTGTCATACAGAAATCGATTTAACTTAATGTGGTTAATTGATCGAATATGGACAGCAAAGAATTATCAACTTAAAAATGCATGAGCTTTCTCAGAAAAAAAACAGCCTATTGTTCATTTTTTTTGTGCAGGAGAGATGTTAGCACTTAGGTTGATGTTTTAGTTGTTTGGTTTTTTTTTGGTTTTTTTGGGGGGGGGGGGTGGTGGTTGGATGAGTATTTTAATTATTTTTTTGGTTTTTTTGTTTTTCTTTTGTTTGTTTGTTTGTTGTTGTTGTTGTTTGTTTTTTTGTTTTGTTTTTGTTTTTTTGTTTTTTTTGGGGGGGTGCTAATTTCTCTAAAAGGATAGCTGACTGAATAGTGTGAAAAGCTGAAGAAAAATCTACAACCAGGATCCTACAATTCGCTGTTGGTCTGTCTATGTGTCTATATTTAGATGTTGTCGAGAAATGATAAAAAATGGCGTCTTCCACACTCCTCCCCAGGCGATATGCAAATTGTAGAGGTCCCTGGACAGGTTCAATGTCTTTTCCTGGCCTTTTCAACATCAAAAAAATTAATCTTGACATTTGATAACAACAGACGTTAAAGCTACTGGTACTAGATCGTTCATTTCAGTTCTTTGGTGTGGTTTTTTTCTTAAGAATTGTGACAATTTCGGAGCATTTCCAAATGGAGGGAATAGTATATATGTCAGCAACTACTCGTTGATTATATAGGTGAAAATAAAGGTGAGTTGTGCTCAGCACAGTTTAAGAATGCTACTCTCAGTGAAATTGGACTAGGAAATACAGAAGGGAAGACTATGTGAGAAACGGGCAGACAGATGGATAGATAGGTAGACAGACTGACTGTTTCATTCGACGTTGGATCCATCTCAGCCTGGGCTGGCCCTGACGAACAGGGGCAAAGCAGCCCACCTCCTCAATAATCTAGACTGTGTTAATACAGGTATGAGCCATAATTTATTGTTGTATCTTTGTCCCCCCTCCCCCCATCCTCAGGCTCTAGGCACCGTGCCCGTCAACCCAGGCGTGGACGGCTCCCCAGACACAAAGAAGGCGTTTGAGGCATTGGCCGCCGTGCAGACTCTACAGATACAGCTGCTGTAATAATGATAATGATTTTCATCATCTTCATCATCGTTATCATCATCATCATCATCATCATCATCATCATCATCATCATCATCATCATCATCATCATCATCATCATCATCATCATCAATGTCAAACAAATGTTTGAATGTCCAGGAACAATGGTAATTCGAATAGAGTTATTTGGACGAGTGGAGGTGCCGCTAAGCATATTGACAATGGAGCCGAAAAAGAGCCTCGCTCTCTCTCGAAGATTTCTTCGTGAAGTCCGTCAGGCCCATTAATGAAACAAAAAAATCATCATCATCATCACCGCCACCACCATCATCTTCATCAGAAGAAGAAGAAGAAGAAGAAGAAGGAGAAGGAGAAGGAGAAGGAGAAGAAGAAGAAGGAGAAGGAGAAGAAGAAGAAGAAGAAGAAGAAGAAGAAGAAGAAGAGAAAAAAGAAGCAGAAGAGTTTGTTTTAAGATACATCATCTAAATCACAGCTTTTAATGTATTGTAAAGCGATAAAAACTTCCATCCAAGTACTCCAATTTTACAAAAGCCCCTATACCCATTTTTTTCTTTCTCAGTGAGGAAATCATTTTTAAAATGAACTGAGAGATCAATAGATCCGGTCATGCTTTCGTTATTGGTACGTATGGGTACGATAATAAAACACGACGTACAGATAGGATTAAATAAGAAAAAAATACCATTTCGCTATTTTCTTTCTCAGGGGTGCTGAAGAAAGAGCCCAGCTGTCCGAGGAGAGAGCTTCTCAGGCAGAGGCTGACATTGTAGACCTGGAGGAAAAGGTTCGAGCCCTGGAGAAGCAACTGGAGAAACAGGCAGAGCAGGTGAGATAAAGTCACGGTCGTAAAGTAATGGCCCAAGACCTTGACCTCAAAGAAGGCCTTAAGGGCACTCTAACATTATTTCTGTGCCTTGTTAGGAGAAAAAAATGCATCGACTGCACTTATCCTTAATATCATACTAATACAGGCAGTCAACAGGGCTATTGCTGTACAAGGCCTTGTTTTGAAGGGTTTCTTTTTTGTACTAGAGTTATCATGTCTTGCTCAGAGGCCACATTGACCGTCTATCTAAATATTACGTCACTGACAGATGCTAGACGTTATTGTGAGTCTGGACTCTATAACCCCTCAGCCGCTGGAAGAAAGAAAGAGAGACAAAGAAAGCACATGTGCTAGAATTTTCCCTCAACCTTTGTACACTACTATCATCTACCAAGGCATATTTCCCTCCTGTAAGAAAACGATGAAAATAACTTTCAAACTTTAACCAACTCCCCTTCCTGTCCACTCGCCATTCTCTAAAATAAGTTAGAAACGTCTTTCAGTCCTTACCTCAGAATGACCGAAACTTGGCCCCCATTGATTATGGAAATCTTAGATAAGGGCAAGTAAGTTCCGGACGGGTGGGAGAGGAGGAAGGGGGGGGGGCTCAAATGAACTTTTATCTGTTTTACCTGAACAACTTTTGTCTCCCTCATCTCCTCATCAGCTGGAAAAGCAGGGCACACAAGGTCCTGCCAAGTCTGCGACTCCGTCTCAGGTGACGTCAGCGGCAGGGGGCACTGCACCAAGCCCCGCCCACACCGACTCCCCGCGCGCCCAATCTGAGGGCAAAGACGAAAAGAGTGGTCGGAAATCTGGGCGGTCTAGCGGCAAGTCGTCCAAAAAGAATAAATAGGCTCGGAGGACGAGGATAAATGTCGTCCCTTTAAGTGTACCAGGTAGGCAATGATAGATGCTTTTTCTTCCTGGTTGTTTTTTTTTTTTTTTTTTTTTTTGGGGGGGGGAGGTTGTTTATTGTCTTTTTTTGTACTAAATGTAGTTGTTTCATGCCCCAATCGATACAATTTAGATCGTTTAACCGGCGGGCTTAGACCTTGCCCACCAAGGCCTGCCCCAGTTGAGAGATTTTTTTTAACAAATGTATCTATATAACTCCAAAGGTCTTGTACTTAAATTCCTGCATGTTTAAATTTTTATGGGCCTGCATGTGTTTTCATGGTCCTGTGCTGCCAAGAAAAATTTTCCTCTGAGATAATAAAGTATTATCTTTTTCTTATTATCTTATATTAACATGTCGTTATGCTCAGTAGAATTTTAAATCGTCTGATTCATCAATGTCATGCTCATAACTGTGCCTGAAATGCGTAAGTGGAAATGCTGCTTTTTCTTTCTTAATCTTTACTGTCGTCATTTTTATCCTCTACTTCTTTTGTATGTTTGTCCCTCTCTTGTGACCCGCTATTTCCTGGGTGCCTTGATAGTCGAAGCAGACTGTGTGTTGTTGAAGCTAGAGAGGAAAGCAGAGTAAGCCTGATTCCCAAATGGATTTCTCTGTTGGCATCCACCCCTTGGCGCTCATATGACCTTATGCAGTTGCGAGCGCCATAAAAACTCTACTAAACTAAACTAAACTAAACTAAACTAAACCGAACTAAACTAAACTAACCTAAACTAAACTAAACTAAACTAAACTAAACTAAGTTTGACACTAAATTGCCAGATCTGTAACTGAAGCAACAGCAATCAAAGTTTGTCACTCATTTCTCTACCCCATTTCCCAGTCATCTATCTGTTCAAGTGGGTGGTTGGCGGGTGCCCTGGTGTGGTTTGCACCTTCTTTTCTGTCGAACATAGATCGTCCTTATCTCTCTTCCTTTTTTAAAGCTTGTAACTCTGTTGTTTCACTTTTAATCCTCCGCATTTTTATGACCCAACTGTGTTGCTATTGCCGTTAAACACTCACTAAAACATCTAATGTTGGGCACTTATATGAGATAATTGTGTTGCAAGTGCCGTAAAACGCTTTCTAAACACATCTGTTCAAGTTCTTTAAATACGTTATCCTTCGTCTGTCTCTGCCTCTTTTGCCTTTTGCTTGTGTGGGGGTTTTTCTTTCTTCCAATGAGAACAGTGTGTTCAGGGCCCTTACGTCAATGCAATAAGTGTCCTAGCATACTATATCACTATTTGGTCCGACGTTGTGTCCCTGGGAAAGGCACTTTACACGAATGTCCCACTTGGCTCGGTCCTTTCGGGGATGACGTCAAGCTCGGGAGGTCCTGCCTCTTAAATAACCTAATAATAGTGTTGATACTTACTTTACTTTTTTCTTTTTCCTTCCTCTGGTATCCTTAGAATGTCGAGGGGAAGTGCAGGTTTGGGTCCTGTGCTAGGTGACTAGGTGTGACGCGTCAGTGATAGATATGTGAGGTGTACTGACAAAATGAGTTAATTCTCGCAATCCACAATAGGAGATATTGGTAAAAAATCAACTGTAGAGTCAAATTTGTAGATTTTCCATTGATGCCCTTTTCTTTAAGTTATAGCATGCCTTTTATTATTTCATACTTATAAATTGTAAAAGCTTCACCTATAAGCGTGATGTGTCTATTTCCATAAGGCTTGACTTAGAGAAGCAACTCATTTTGTCAGCACATTTCACATATGTTATGTTGATAATGTTGATTGGGGGGGGGAGGGGTTAAAACTATACCATTTCACCATTTTTTATGTCACTATTATTCCATTGCTTTTTTTTCAGATCCTGAGTGTTTGTTTCTCCTCCTGTGAGCACAGAATGCAGTGGGCATTTGCTGACCGTGTCAAGTAGGAGACTTTTCTATCTATGAATTCAAACTGACTGATCCTCCACAACGTCAGAATGGTAGACATGTACCACCAGATAGATCTAATTCGTGTCATTTTTTGTACAAAACTGAGTGTAGGATGATAGAGTAACATTGTATACAGAATGTTCTTTCAACAATAAATTTTGATTCTTTTTTCTTTGAAGGCTTCGAAGTTGTGTTTTGCTTTGCACGTTTTATGTTTGTGTTTGTATTGTTTTTGCTGTACCATGCTTTGGGTTGGAGACGTAAGTTATTAGAAAATATCGTGTTACTTGAAATGTTCATTCCCGATACGGGGAATTCAGAGACGTTTGAACTTTTAACTTAGATTCAAGATTCTCAGTAGGTGGTTGGGGGACGCCACTGCTAGCTCCTACTCCTCATGTTTCCCACTTTTTGTTCTTTTTAGTCTTAGTAGAGATTTAACGGCGCTCGCAACTGCATAAGGACTTTTTGTTCTGTCTGTCTGAATTTTTCCAAAGCTCGAAAAGATTGCTCTTTTGTCGATGATACGTTTCGCTCTATTCAAACACAAAAAACAAACACGATCAGAAACCCCACAAGTAAGACGGACAGACAGACTGGCAGACAGACCAACAGACGAAAAGATAGACAGACAGACAGACGCAAAGCAAAAGGATAGCACAGAAGCAACATCCAGCCGTCTCACTGTCCAACCAACCAGATGAGACTGATCAACAATTAAGTACACACCAAAAACTGCTCACCTATTTGGTAAATACGCGAATCACAGAACCTTGTTATTTTTTAACATTTGCTACTTCAATGTGAGAACGTTGACTGGATTGAACCGGCGTCTGTGGTGTAGCGGACAGGTACTTCACCGTTGCATTCCGAAGATGGGAATTCGATTCCAGCGTGGGAAGCTTATTTTATCTAGTTTTTTCGTCTGTATGCTGAGACTCTGTAGCCCTCTCAGTTTGTATTGTTTGTTTTAGTAAGGTTTTTACGGCTTTCGCTACTGCATAAGGTTATATGAGCGCCATTAGGGGGAGGTTAAACAAGAAGTCCATACAGGGAATCAGGCTTACTCTGCTCACCTTTCTAGCTTCAACAGCACAAAGTCTGCTTCGACTATCAAGACACCCCGGAAATAGCGGGTCACGAGAGAGTGACAAACATACTAAAGAAGTAGAGGAAAAATGACGATAGTAAGGATGAGAGGGAAAAAAACTGCAGTTCCTCCTGTGTTGTTCTGGCACAGTATGAGCATGACATTGATAAATCAGCTGATTTACAATTCTACTGTTCATAAGAACACGTTAATATCCCCCTTAACCCTATCCGTACGTCGTGTTTTACTACCGTATCCATACGACGTGGGGAACTCAGTGCCACCAATTTCCAAACATGAAATTTACTCGCTAATCCGATCCGTCTGTCGATATGATTTTTTTAGAAATACTGAAAGTTTCAAAGAGATCTTCGTACTATTAGTATTCTAAAATGTGAAGAATACGACCCCATGGGTACAATATGACTCTAGGGCGTACGGATAGGGTTAAACTGAAGATAGCAATGACGAACGAGGAGGTGCCAGTGAGCCTTTTTGTGTTACAGTCGAACCTGCTCTAGCTAGCACTTGTCCAGGACATCACCTGTACAAACGGCCACTTCCCAACCCCCCCCCCCCCCCCTTTGCAGTTTTGTCTGTATTTATTAATGACACTGTCCAGGAGGGCCACATATCTAAGACGACGACTTTTCTACACGACAATGATCGTCGTCGTGGGCAGGTTTGACTGTGTTTATAAATTTCACAAGAAGAAAAATAAAATTTTATCATTATCATCCGGTGCCTTGCCGACTGGCGTGGGCGATCAGCAATGGTGTCTGTTGTTCTTGCTGCTCCCAGCCAAGTTGTCAACTTGTCCAGTATCTTTTCCCTCTGTCTGCCTCTGCCTCTCTTTCCATCAAACTTGCCTGTTGTTACAATATTCTCCAATGCTTCTTTCCGCATTGTGTGTCCAATGGAATGTGCATACATATTCCTGAAGGTGAAGCGCTTGACGTAAAGACGCTTGGACTAAAAAGTAAGCTTAGTTTTAAAGGGAAGAAGCAAAACCAGAGACTGCAATAATATGCGACAATGATAAATGTAACGCTTGCAGACGTTTAAAAGAAATCGATAGTTTCATGCTCTAATCGTGCAACTGGAGGAAATTTTTTTTTTCTGTGTTCTTAAATTATTATTAGCTTTGTGTTGGGTTTTTGTTGTTGTTGTATTTTGGTTGTTGTTGTTTCCTTTGTTTGGGGTTTGTTTGGTTTGTTGGTTGTTTTTGTTTTGTTTTTGTTTTTGTTTGGTTTGTGGGGTGTGTTTTGTTTTTTTTTTTTGGGGGGGGGGGGTTCTGATGAAACATTTTTCAAACAGTCAGTTGCATGGTTAGAGCATAGCACCATCGATTTATTATGTTCTTAAGTGTTGTAGGGTCGTAAGAAGGGGTTGTGCTGTCTTCTTGTGCGTCTTGGGCGGAGTGGTGATTGAGTGCTCCCTACGCATTGGCTGTTTTTTTCTTTTATTTGTGTGTTTGATTTTTGTTTTGCAGAGAAAAAAGGGGGCGGAATATGAATTACATTCACGCAAACACACACACACACACACACACACACACACACACACACACACACACACTCACACACACACACATACCAACAATCTCTCTCACTCTCTCTCTCTCTCTCTCTCTCTCTCTCTCTCTCTCTCTCTCTCTCTCACACACACACACACACACACACACACACACACGCACCCACACACTCCATACTCTACTGTACGTGTCCCAGGATAATTGAAAGACCATCACGAAACGTAGAACATTAACATTTTCCTCGCTCTCTGGACTTTGGAAAAGTCAGAAACGGCATTTACTCTGCCACGTTTGTTGACTTCTCTGTCCAAGTTTGCGACTGGCATGCTGTTAAAATTATATTACTGACATTCCATTCCAGCGGATCGATATTTACGTGGGGGAAAAAGAATAGGAATGCGAACTTTAACGCTTTTCAAATTATGCCAAAAGTGAAACTTGAGCGGAATGGAAGGTTGCAGCGGAAATAAAAGACTGCGCGTTTTGTGAGCAGATGTCTTGTGCTGTTTCATTTTCGATGTTTTAACTTACGTTATATAATGAAAGAAAAAAGTGGTACTAGGGAATGAGAAGAAAGGAAGAGAATAGGGAATTGGAATAGCAGATTATTTATTGATATTGTTGGGATTTTTTTTTAGGTTCTCTTTGGATTCTTTTCATGTAAAAGTGTCTCAGCTATCATAGAAGAGTAGAATGCTTTCAAAGCTTCAGTTTTCCCTCTTACGACTGCATATTATTGTGTAAACTGTGAACCAAATGAAAACAGTCATGCGGATGTGTAGACGATGAGCATAGCAGATCCAGTTTGAGCAAAGATCCTTGATTTAGAAATGTTTGACGATGTTTTAACATCAAGAAAACTATGTAGAAAAATGTTGACGCTATGCATTCTAATGGTTCTTGCAAGCAACGTAACTCTATCAACGTGTGCGTATAGTGGTGACGTGTCTGAGGGGTTCGGTGATGTATGTGGAAATACTACAACCTCCCAGCTCAGAGGTTACGACTTGAACTTGGCTCCCATGCTGAAAATAATAATGCACTTTTTCGAGTGGGATCACATCGTCATGGTAACGGACGAAGACCGTCCTGCAAATCATGAGGTAGGTAAGGTTGTGGAGTCGCTGGCTATTCTAAGCTCCCATGTTCGCATCTCTGGTGGTAGCAGCTTTCGTTATAACTCGACCGAGTTTGAAAACCTCTTTGTTATTGGCGCTTCTGACCCGGATGTAAGGAGGAACAAATTCGTTTTTCTGCTCCTACGTCCGTGGGAGCTGATCCGCTTTGCCGATGACGTGTTCTTCCAGGAAGGTCGGGGGTCCATGTTTCCCCAGCGAGTGCATTTTATTCTAATCACTACATCGCGTTCTGATTTTCGACTCGTAGAGAACAACATGGCTTCGACTGTTTTCGATAACGTATTAGTTATAGATATTGAAAGTGGCGATGAGTCTCCTGTACGATCACTTCATACGTTAATGTGGAGGAAAAACAGACACCGTGAATTTGTCAGCATGACGTCGAAGAGTGTTGCGTTAAATCCGCAACAAGCCTTTCCCAATCAGAAAACGGGACTCAACGGGCGGCCACTGACGTTTCTTGGTAAAATCTGGGCTAGTGAACTGATGAGGGACGTTGATCCGAACACGGGCACAGGGAAATATTTTGGCTTTCTCGTGGATCTGTCCGAGCTTTTGGCCCAGGCGTTAAACTTCACTTACATCATCGTCCCCGAGGCGGGAAAGGACGACCTGATCAGCTGGTTGGAAATCAGAGAGATGATTGGCGCCAAGCGAGCAGACGTTGGCCTGTCTCTGTGGAGCGTCACGACGCAAGTTCATAGCAATGTCTCCGTCACATACCCGTTGAAACATGGCAGGCTGGTAGCGGCGTACGTAGACCGCTATGACAGTGGAGACAGCAACCCGTTCGAGTCCCATGTTTCAAGCGTCACGGACCCCGTAGTGAGTGCTGCATTACTGGGCTGCTTTCTGTGGAGTGTGCTGAGTTTTATGATAACCTTTACGCTCTCCCCTAGCCCGGATTGCCGAAACAGTCGCCTTGAGCCACGACGTAAAGTTCCCCTAAGACGTGATCAAGATTTTAAGTCTGGTCAGGAGAAATTAGATGAACACCAACTTCACACGGATATAAATGTGTGTAATCTCAGAAACAAACAATTAAGTGGCAAACATCACAGGATCAAAACTTTAAGTGACTGTACCGATAGAAACAGAGATTCAAATGTCATTACTCTTGAAAACAAAACTATACATGTCAACGATCATGGAATCCCAACAGAAGAAGGCATTTCGAAACAGATTCCTTCTAACGACGACATAGTTAAACAAACTAGAGACACTTCAGAGAATGAAGACAGTGAGGAGTTTTCAAATGCCGATATCAAGAAATGGAGACTAATGAAACATGTCTATGTATTGATGGACATCGTCTTCTCTTTCATCGGATCCATGCTCAACCAAGGTCTTCTGCCTAGGCCATGGGCCCTATCCACCCGTCTGATGTTGATGACGTGGTCACTTTCGATGGTCA